GAGATACTACTAAATTATGATAAGACGGCAGTGTTAACCGTTTGGATGCAGCCCAAAGTTGTTGGGCTCGACAAACCTAATCCAACACTTAATTAACCATCATCCAGCTAAACATGCCTAGTTCCGAAAGGCTAACAACCTTTTACTAGACCTGCTACGGATACTGTTTTTGAAAGAACAAGAAAGAGACTGTGATCGAGTACATTTTGTAGGAAACGTTTTACAATAACTTATGAGAAGAAATGTTAGTGCTAAAGCTAAAGATACCCTATATTCATGGGAATACAACATCGCTATCGGCCCAGAAATTGCAACCTGTACATCTCCACAGTGTATCTTTAGTTTAGATAGGTTGCGAAACGATATTACATATTTATGGGATGCATTCTTAGCACTCTCCCCGTGTTTGATAAATTATATGAATTCTAATCTCTGTTGTGAGGTTGCGAACAAGGAGGCTGCTTAATCACTTCGGAAATCACGAAAATATGTTGACACCTTTGATGGATGAATGAAACTCACACGGTGAGAACACCTCAGCTACATATCCAGCTGTTTGCAGATCAGTGCCCTGAATTAAACTGTGCAGTTAAGATTCCCATCCCATCTTGCTTTTGTTGACTTTGTTCGCAGCCCCACATTTATCATAATTTGTCTTTCTCGTGGAGCGTAACCAGAGAACCTGACAGTTTTTTGTTGATGGAATAAAAAAATAAAAAAAATCTATGCATGCATATGCATATTGACAATAACGGTAGTGGCAGGACACCAGAGCAAATTCACTTGCTGTCATAACGTATCAGAAACAAGCATCAGGCGGGCCGTTAAATTCTCCAAGAAACATCAGATATCCTATGTTGTGAAGTTCTCATTTGAATAAATAAATTACTTAATTTAGTTGCAAATTTTGCAACTTTTGTATTCAAGACTCAAAGCAAAAAAATATTATGGTTGTGGGTTGATTGTCCAGGGACCCCATGGTCAGAAAGACTTTCACAATGGAAAACAGCGTAAACATGAGATGTATTTTGATCAGCTTTTGGGTTTCGAAAATTATGTCCACGAATGCATAGGGGTTGAACATAGCTAACTCAGGTTCACTTTCTGAACTGCTGCCCCGTAGTAATACGTTTATTTTGCAGACAATTTCTATGAACCATTGTACTATTATTAAATAAAGGGCGAGCCATGAAAATAGATGCCTACTTTCCTCATTCTCATGTGTGGGCTTACACTTGAGAGTGTCTATCCTCGGGCGAGAATAGGTGGTGCACGTGCCCTGAAAGTTGTGGAACGTTACTCGTCTACGACGTCTACTTCTGTATGCTCCACAACTTTGCTGAACGTTACTCTACTTCTGTATGCTCCACAACTTTGCCAACCTTTCATAGTCTGCACATCTCAGCTTGCCTGGCATCTCAACCTCTTATTTGCCCTTTTACTCATCCTCTTCTCCTGACCTACGTCTTCCTTTTTATGTTCCCATCCTATTGTCTCTATTTCTGGTTCAACAGCGGGGTCATCCGATTACATTCCAAGTCAAAGTTAACATTATGTATCGCAATTACTGTCCACTTTCCAGCCACGTTTGGTGCATTTGTAGCTATTTGTTTTGTTCAAATTTGGTAAGGTTTTTTGGTACCCTGTTATTAGGGGTCCTTGTGCACAGATTAAGACTGTGATGTTACGAACTGCCGCGTTCTTCACTGTACTGTGACTAAAGCGGCTGCAGCAGCCTCCGGCCATCACTACATCTGTCAACCTCCCAGTGTCCTTTGGTGCCACTGCCCTAAAAAGCTCCTCCACCACGGTCATTATTGACATCTTTGAAGTGCCAAGGTTTCTTTTTATCGTCATTGTGTTGGTATATAAGAAATCATCTGTAATCAGTTGGACTCGTGAAACTTTTCTTTCTTTTGGAATGGAGTTGTGTGTGTTCAGAACACTGTCTGAACCTGTTGTTGACTCGGTCTTGGCACAGAGCTTTATTTTAGCGGTGTTTCTCTGGCGCTTCACTCTGAATATGTCTGACCACAACAACAACCACAATAACATGTTTTCTTTCTGTCTGCCTGCCTTGTGCTTGGGTCACAGGTACAGCTGTGTTTTTCCTGTGACAGCAGCTTCCTGCTGTTGTGATGCACTTGCCTCTAATTAGTCACCTTAGCCATTTCACCTTTTTAAGGTCTACCTAATTGTTGAAGGGCTGTCATTTTTCACCTGAGATGTAATTTCAACTTTTTGCCCGGCGGTAAAAACGACACAGTGCTGTTTGCTTATTGTTTTGTTGTGAGTGAGCAGAAAGAAATAGTTGTCAGAAAAGAAAAAAAGAAAATATAAAGTATATATTTCAATTTCAAGTTTTTCAAACCTAAACAAGGCTTCCGCACCGTAGTGTTTCTAACTGACCCTTATTTCCTCAACAGACCCCAAACCAAAGCTTGCAATTATTATTTTTTTTGTTTGTTTTTTTGCATACACCTTTAAAGCAAAGAGACATATTTAACTATTCAGGAGTTTGAAAGAATCTGTGCTACTGTAAAACTAGGGGTAAAAATAGGGCAAATAAATTATTGACAGCTACTGTCGTATTGTGTAGCTATGAGTTAAACCCAGTGTTTCCCAAACATTTTCTGCATCATTCCCCTTTTTAAAATAATAATAATACCAGTCCTTTAATTGGACTGGTGTAAATCTTTGCAACCTACATAGGCTACCTCCTGAGGCACTATTAATTATGTGGTTGCAACTAGGTTTTTGCTTCCACTGGAACTCAAATCCAGGACGGTCTGTGTGCATCGCAGATGTGTATGGCAGTTGTGTTAACCGCTACTCTATGGAACCATTTTAGGGGTGCTCGCTAATTAGCCCACGAAACTATGAGATGTCACAGGAATGGGACGACGATGTGGTTCGATCGGTCCAATTTTGCAACAAAATCGACGAGAAAATCATGACTCCCTACAAGCTACTCTTCGACTGGAAAAAGACGCAGCGGAAGCAACTGCCGATCACAACGTTTTTGCAGCCTCGCAAAAAAGATCCGGTTCCTGCTGCTACTACTACGGATACACCTTCGGAAACCGTGGAAGCGGCGCCCCCAAGAAATGGCACCACCCTCTGAAGAGAAGTAAAATCAATCATCGACTGCGCAGTAAAAGTCATCATCACCTTCCTCGTCATCATTTTACTGCGCATAAACATGGTGTCGCTACTTCGCGGAAATTCAGTTCTCGCGGCAGGCCTTGGAACCTATCTACCGCGATAAACGAGGGAGCACTGTAACCTTAGAAACAAATTCCTGATTGTCTGTGTAGGTTCTCAGTCATCCAGGTCTTTTAATCCAAAAATAGTTACATCGAGGGTTTCACCTTTTATCCAAGAGGCTTCTTCAGTTCTGACTGACTGCTGGGAAATTCTGGTAATTTAGCCTCAAAGCAGCTGCTTAAATTCCTGATTGCAAACAACTCGTCAGCTTGATCCAAATGTTGGTGGATGCCGAGTTACAGCATTTTACCCATCATCCATCACCCGTTATACATAAACCACAGAAATGTGAACATGAACAGGTTATAAAAAAAAATGTCTCACGAACTTCAGTCACCATGCGAACGCAGCACGACGATCAGTGCTTGGTAGCCTCGCCTGCCCTAAATCAACTATAAATAATTACACTTAATGCACAAGAATACGCCGCACATCACGTGAGATCGTCTGATCAGTGTTACTGTTACATGAAAAAGCATTTAATGGAATCAAAACATGGCTGTTCGAGCTGCTGGAAAGCCTTCAAAGGGACAGCAACTTAGCAGGTAACAGCAAGCAGCAAAAAGGGGGTAATTGTGAGCATCCAAGCGTTGATTTTGATGTGTCTGCGTTGAAATCGTTAGACTGAAAATATCAAGAGGAAAAAAAAAAACAAAGTAAAGTTTGAGTGGGAGTTTATGACAGGAAATGAAAGGTGGGGGGGCGGGGGGAATAAAGAAAAAAAAGCAGGATTAATGTGATTGATGTTCTTCAGAGGATGAAATCTATTCAATTAATTCAGAATAATTCTTTTAGAAGAAGATTCTACCGTGTCAAATGAGTTTGTTAGGTTTGGTTTTTTTTTTTCATTTTGGAAAGTTTCTCCACATTTCACACACTGAATGCGGGTTTTAGTAGAACGTCTTTATTGTCAGCACATAAAGCCCTGGCCCCTCCGGATGCTTCTCTCAACTGTCTATCTTTGTCAGTGTTCTTATGCTGCCTAAAGGAACTTTTGCCGCTCCCCAGCTATGGTATATCAGAACTCGAGGCCAGTGGAAAGACTGTGGTCTCAGATGTATTCTGACAGTTGGGTGAAATCATACGGTCAACTGTCTTTTACACAAAGGCACGCTGTAAACTGCTGGAGTTTCTGAAAGAGCAAAGAACGTTGAACTGCCGTTGTGATTTAAGTTCAGTTGCACAATGCCAGCAAGAAAATATAATTGAGGCGTTGTTTTTCCGTTATTCAATAATACCGTTTGATTTGCAAATAATAAAAATCATGCTTTGATTTTGTTTTCATCCTTATGTTGGGATGAAAATGTTCTGCTTTTAAAAAGAGTAACTAAAGAGTAGAAAGCCAAATCATTTTTGCAAAGCCACAATCGAAGGAACACGACACAGCAGCGGGGAAAACTGTGTAAGAGAAAGACAGCGATAAGAGAAAGCTGTTTAGGGAATGCATGAAATTCATGAAAGACCAAATAATTGCTAATTAGTCCTGCAGAGATCTGATCGGTGGTGTTTTGGTGATGAAAGTAAATCTCAAACTGCGGGGAAGAAGCTTGAAGCAGAACTCTTAAATCACATTACACTTTGACTGTGTTATTGATCCTTTCACGCAGTTCGGCTGCTGAAAAATGAGACGACCAGCGCTGCGTAAGCAGCGATGATCACCGTATACTCGTACACGCTTTCTAACATTGTTTTTTGTGTGTGTGTGTGTGTGTGCTTTTTGTTTGAATTACCAGCGGTAAAGAGGCTGATGAAAGAGGCCGCAGAACTGAGGGATCCGACGGAACACTACCACGCTCAACCACTGGAAGTAAGAGTTATCGTAGCAGCTTAGATGAGATTGATATGAGATTGATGTGTTTTGCTACAAAGCATTTGTAAATTTTTTTTTCACAGACCAACAAAAAAAGAAAAAAAAAATCAAAATGTATGTGCTATAACATAGTACATACACCGCTAGTACTACAAATCCTGCCAGTACATAAGAGTCCATATACTGGGGGGCCACCTCTAGTACACATTTGATACGATCTCGCGGGCCAAATATAATTACACTGCGGGCCAGATTTGGTCCCCGGGCCTGAGTTTGACACATACATAAGTAGTAATAGTCTTATTTGTCAAATTAGACGCAAAAAAAAAAAAATCAAAACAAACTCTTTGATGACAGCTTCTCTTAGGTGAAATTACCTTTGTGTTTTGACCACATGTGGACTAAAATGTTGGCTGTCTAATTAAAAATTATTTTAGGATTATCCGCTAATCACCAAAAAAGAATAAATGTCTGAAGTTTCTAGTGAATGTGGAGAGAAAAAAAAATTGTACGTTTTAATTTGTGTGTAAAAATAAATTGTAGATGTATCACATTGGAAAGTCATTTTTCGCGAGTTGGGTGTTAATTAGACTCGCATGTTGCGGACAACCGCAACAATTAGTTGGTGCTTAAAAAAAAGAAGGAGAGTTTATAATTACATTACAGTTTAAGCCAGTGTGGAGTGTATTTGTCGAGATCTCGTCTTTCTAGCGCTGTGACGCACTTCGCTCTCCCCCCCCCTCTCCTCCCCCCTCTACAGGATAACCTATTTGAATGGCACTTCTCCGTACGTGGGCCCCCGGACTCCGATTTCGATGGCGGCGTTTACCACGGTCGCATTGTCCTTCCTCCGGAGTACCCCATGAAGCCCCCCAGCATCATCCTCCTCACAGTAAGAGGTGGCCGAAGGCTGCAGCTTCAATTGCGAGCAATAATTGCCCTGCCGAAGCGTAACGGGGAAGACATCACATCCAATGATCAAAGAGCGGGGAAACAGACAGCATGTCATTTAACCTTCAGCCGTTTTTTTCTAGTTGCGTCACGTGTAGTGACAGTTGTCAGAATAATGCCTGGCCTGTCACCGAACTGTCAGAGGGATTTGCTCCGCTTTTGCGAGACTATGGGGTTGTCATATTAAAACAGATGTTTGCCACTCGCGCTAATTACAGCCTGATAAAAGCCACAGTGTGCACAACAGTATTGTTGTGATAGTCTCTTTCTCATTATAGGGCCTGTCACTATGGTATTTTTTTTTATATATCTATATATTGGACACATTTCTAAATCCTCTCCGCTCTGGTATTTAAAACCTCTTTTTAATGAAAATTAATCAGCACGTGTGCTAAACCTATGTCGGACTTCCGTTACCACAGCCTGATGTCAATTTTGCCTTAAGCAATCAGTTAGCAGTTTGCCTGTTATCTAAATGGTTGGTAATTCAGGCCCATCCAGGGACGGGTTAGCTAGCTTACACGCAGGAGGTCCTGGGTTCGAGTCCCAGAGAAACCACTTGTGTGGGTCTCACACTCAATTTCTCAATTGTGGAACTAATAGGGGACTTCAGTGGTGACATCATAATCTTGACCAGACATGTAAAAGTCATGCATAAAGGCTGTAATCTTGACCAGACATGAAAGTCATGCATAAAAGCTAAAATGCATTTTTTTACACCATCTATTGGTGAAATGTGGGTATTGCAGGGAAAAGGTAGAAGTACAATGATAATATAAATAAATTTGGAAATGTTTGGCAGGCCAGATTAAAAAGCTGAACGAGCCGCATCCGGCCCCCGCCCCTTAGTTTTCCCATGCCAGATCTTGAACATAAAACATCAGAAGAGTCTGACTTACGTTTGGGAACCACAAGACAACGTATTTGTTCACTCACAAATTTTTTTTTAATGCGTACGTCGGAATGACTTAAAAAAAAAAAATTATGGAAAAAGGCGATGTAACCACGAAACACCAAATGTCGAGGACATCGTAAGCCTGAACAGTGTTGAACTCAATGTTTTGGAAAAGAAGTCTGGAGTTGATTATACCCCTGTGTAAATTTATGAACACGGCGGAGGGCAAAGGAGATGGCTGCAGTTAGACCAGGGGAGGCAAGAAAACAGCCAACCTGGACGATCACATCGAAAAAGCAGCCAAAGCCATGAAATAACAGCTTCTCATCACAGTGCAGGGAACTGTCATCATCTCCCAGTGCACTTGATGATGCAACCGCCAGTTTCGATCTGTAGCAGGCCTGACAACAAGATGTAACCCAGAATCACTATTTTGTCATGCAACACAGCCCGATTTTGTTTTAACGTCATGTCAATAATATTTTCAAATTGTTCCTGCGCAAACTGGAACTTTAGACATCTGCGTATTTCACTGTATTTTAAAAAAAATGCGTACTTCTAGTGCAGTACAAATAGTGGGGCGGGGGGGGAGGCACGCTGTACATAAGTGTACCACTGCTGTAATGCTTGAATGATAACAAGCCTCCTGTCACTAGGGGGCAGCAACTCATACAGTGGTTTGTACAGATAAAAATGTTAGGTTGTCGGCAGTATTTAATTTCTCGAGAGGGTTGGACGGGGCGGGGGTATTGTTTTATCCATCCATCCCACATACTCCTACCTGCTTTCTATTATTTTTACCTAGCCAAATGGAAGATTCGAAGTTGGGAAGAAGATTTGTCTGAGCATTTCTGGCCATCATCCAGAGACCTGGCAGCCATCCTGGAGCAGTAAGTATCCTTCACTATAAACTTTTTCTTTTTTTTTAAAAAAAAGTTCAACTTGAAAACTGTCATCATTTCCCAAACCAGAAAAATACAGTCTTTCGGAGAAACTTTATCCAGGTCTTTGGGAAACCGTGAGTGTCCTCTGGTAATGTGCGCTGTTTGAACAGAAGTGTTATACGTCACTTCAAGTTGTTTTACAAGGAGAGAGTTCTCTGTCACAGTTATGTGACAGTTATGTTGCCGTAATAAATAACGTAACCCTCAGTCCTGTAATAAAAGCCAGTATTCAGCAGGCACAAACACATTATGAGATGCTAATAAAAAGGCCGTAAAACAAGCGCCTAATAAAAGACAAGTGATGAGAGATGCTATTATTTGCTCTCCAATCACTCATGTGACAATTACAGGATGATTTATAGATCTAATTTATTCAATAAAACGGATATATCTCCCTTCCGGAAAACAGAACCTGAGGTTGTCTTTCTGACCTCATTGCACTGTTTTTGTTTTGTTTTTTTTTTACTTTAAACACACAAAAGCTGCTGCAAACGGAAACTAAATGACTAAAGCTCCGTGAAAGGGTTACACTCAAAAAACAAAAAAAAACAAAAACAGAAGGAGCTCTTGAGACGCTCTTAAAAAAGAAAGATCAGAGCAGCCTTTTATTAAAATCCAAACAAAACACGATACGGAAAAAAATAGAATGCATTTCATTCACAAGCAGGATTGCTGTTGCGACAACAACGTCATCAGTAGGGTCAAACTAACCTGCCTCACAACAGTTAAAAAAATTTGACCGGGGGGACCAGGTCAGGACATGTAAATGCTTTAGGCCTTTTGTAGGCCATCTATTGGAGAAATGTAGGCATTGCAGTATAATGATAATAAATATTAATAATATAATTTGGATAAGTTTGGCAGGCCGGATTAAAAAGCCAAACGGGCCGCATCCGGCCCCCGGGCCTTAGTTTGCCCGTGCCTGTTCTACCACTAGGTGCTAAATCGAACCTTAGCAATCAATAGGTGAAGGCAAGATACACTCCAGAGGGCAAACCCCTCAATGGAAGGCTAGATAGAGACAAACCACCATTCACACTCGCACTCATGCCCAGATAGTCATGATCAACTTGGAGTGTCTAATTAACAGGATAATGGATGATTTCCAAAAAAAAAGAGCCGTTCCACTGCGATTTAGCTTCCAGAGCTGAAAATCTAATTAACTAATCACACTGAGCTTTCGCTTTTACAACACAATTTGTACCCAAGGAACGGTGAAATACGTCAGCACGTTCACATCGACAGGAAAAAGATTTTTTTTGTGTGTGTGTTATAAATATTTACACACAACTCTATCCGATATTCATGATCGGTAAAATTTCAGGATCTGTAGCACGTGCGATCCGACCCCTGAGCCCCGAATGCTCAGCTTAACTTTACACAACCTGCGGTAAACAGGGACACTATCGCTTCGGCAACTGTAGCCTACGGCATGCCGGAGGAGCTAAGAAGGTACTCGATCGATGTCAGTATCAGGAGATACTCCCGAAGTTGTAGCATCGGTATCAGCATCAGACATGGGGAAAAAAAGTTGTATCAAGTCAGCCCTGTTATAAAGTCTGGACTTTAACGTTGGACTTGGAGGAGCTAGCTATAGCACCACGGTCTGTGCGCAATGGCCGATGTCAGCTCTTTCTATCATTGTGAAGCAGAATTGAAAATAGGTGGAACGTGATTCATAGGCTAACACCACCTCACATATATTTTACCTCTCATTAAAATATCGAAGTCACCCTACAATTACAAAAGGTGTCCTACCGATGTCGGCTCTTTCTATCACTGTGAAGCAGAATTGACCAAGCGTTGGATTGTTCACCGACCAATAGGGAACGTGAGCTGGGTTTAGACCAGGCATGGGCGAACTAGCGAATGGTGGTTTGTCTCTGTCTAGCCTGCGATAGAGGGGGTCTTGCCCTCACCTATTGATTGCTAAGGTTTGGTTTAGCACCTAGTGGTAGAAGATGAATACATTTCGATTTTTAAAACAGACTATGTCACATTACGTGTCGACCTAAGAGTAGTTTTTGTGTCTCGGAATCCATACAGAGTCAGAGACGATGCTAGTTTAGTAGGGGTGCTCACACATTTTTTTTTTCGCAATCTACTATTTAAATGGCAGGTCGGAAGTGATCTACCTTCATTGAAAACATTAATATATGTTTAGAAATATAAACCCAATATACTATATATACACATATGTTTGGGGGCTGATTAAAGGCATGTAGCTATGTGGCATATAGTATGATTCAATTCTTCTTGCATATGGCAGTACTCAAATAGTGGGGCGAGGCACCTGGGGGGCACGCTGGACATAAGTGTACCATTACTGTAATGCTTGAATGATAGCAAGCCTCCAGCCACTAGGTGGCAGCAAATCATACAGTGGTTTGTACAGATAAAAATATACATGTTCTCAATAGGATTTCAATAGGATTTCAATTCATAGGGGTGTGGGTCGGAGGGGGGAGTGAAAACATTTCCGACCTCAAGGGGGCGCATGACAGAAAATAAATGAGAACAACTGGTATATGTTCACAACTATACATACAACAATAGAATTCTATTCATATTTTTAATTTGTTTTCTTTTAATTGCTCACGTTCTATCAGCACTGTTTCTTATTGGGCACCGCTGCTCTAGTCTATTTCCATGGATTTAACATTTGTCTTCTGACAGCTCGATTCATATCCTGTATAGGGGTCTTTGACTAACACCGTGTCTCTGTTGGAAAAATATGTTTTATCTGCCTTTTCTGTCCTATCCTTCCTTTGGCAGAGATTTTCTTTCATGTTTTTCCCAGCATGGGATTTCGATAAGTGGAAACTCAGTGGGAGACTGTGCATCTGCTGTAACGTTTTTTTTTTGTTTTTTTTTCACCCCTTCTGGTTCCATCTCTTAACTGAAAAGGGTAAATGCATAACTCTATGAAATCAAAGACAACGTAGCATTAAATCCTTTTTTTTTTTTTCCCCAACCTACTGCAGGTCATGCGGGTGGCCGCGGTATAAAGGTGTTACGTTCCTTTCTTTGTTCACAAATTGCAGTACGAGGTTTGTCTCGTTCCGTTCTGGAATTATCACAGTAGGCCTGGCTGAGTAACACAGAGATTGCGAACGATGCTGGCAGACCAGCAGCGGTGATTCCAAGCCTGTGCTCACTGCCGTTTTATCTTGCTTACATTAAGCTTAATTAAGCGCGTCCGAGTGATTCCAACATTCCCTCTGATGTCATTTGAAAAGTCCGTATTTCTTTCTGCATTTATACGAAACACGTTAGGCCGTGAGCGTGAGCGAACCGCACGAGAGAGACTTTTTTTTTTGTTTTGTTTTTTAAGGTGGAGTGAACTTTGTTTACAAAGTGCCAAAAATCACAGAACTCACTGGGTCGCAGGAACAAGGAACAAAGAGCCAGATCATCAAAGGCATAAACACCAAACACAACACGCAGGAACACAGCGCACAACCAGCATGAACACAGAACAAAGATCCCAGCAAGACTGAGAGTGTGAGACAGGGAGGTATATATACCAAGGGCACCAGGTGACAGGAGTGAGGCTAACGACAGACACAGGTGAATCTGATCACACTAATCAACTCCGCACACACACAGGAGGAGGAGAAGGGAGAAAGACAGACCTCACAAAAAAAAAAAATATAATATATCATAAAAGCGTGTGCATGTTATATGGCTTTTTTGTTTGATGGTTTGTTTGTTTTTGCTCAGTGATTAAGAGTGCCAGGATTCTTAAACCTCGCAACGTCTCACCAAGCAGCCATGTTTTTATTTAATGTCTGGGGCGTGCGTCGTTACATAGGTGTGTAGTTTCTACGCCCACGCAAATCCATTCATCTCTCAGCTCGCTGTGAAGAGGGAAGAGCTGGCACGGATCTCGATATACAGCTCGCTGTTAATAAAGGGAATGTGCCGCAGCTTCGTAAAAAGGCTTCACCTTCACTTTGATTTTTTTTTTTTTCTTCTTCTCTGTTTTCCTAATTTGATCAAAGTCGAGTCCAATCCGCGTCACGATTCTTCATCACATACTGCACTGCCACTTCAGCGATAAGATGTATTATTTAACAGATAACTGGATTTAATTTTGTGGCAGTGAACTGTGACTGGTCCCCCTTTTTTTTTTTTTTTTTTTTGAAAAGTTGCTCAATCCATACATCTGTTATATGATTTAAAACTTCAAAAAAAAAAAAATTCAATTTGTTCGCAGGCCAAAACGTCGCAATTAGAAAATTGGGTGAAGAGAAAAAAGTAAACAACTCTCTAGAGATTTGGCCATCACGCAGGTGGTGACGCATTACAGGGTTGAAGATGCGACAGTAATTATAGATAATAAATGATCAAAGAAATAGTCGCGTGAATTCTCCATCAATTACCAGGGAATTAATCGCCTTCCTGTAATAAAGGTTTTTGAGGTAGCTCCTTGAAAGACGTTGTTTGTCTGTAGTTTTAGTGAGACTAGAATGAGCAGAAAAAAAGGGGATTTGTAATAACAAAATGTCCCTCTCGTAATTGCTTTTTTTAAAGCGATTGTGATCAACTGGACAGAAAGTGTGGTTAAAAAGAACAAGGAAATCAGACCTTTGCAAATTCTCAGAAAATGCTGGGAAAAAAAATGGTTCCATCGACAGTTAGCGTAGCTACTAACTCACAAATGCGATGCTAATTTTCAAAAGGTGCCAGGTGTCAAGAACAGGGTGATCTTTTACTCTAGGGCTTGTAGTGATTATTCACCACATGGCCTGTTACCTTGTAACAAGAAGATCACTTGTTTTTTTGTCCCTGTGAATGGGTTTTCATCGATTTATCAGAATTGGATTTCGATTCCGATTTTGGCTTCTCACAATCGTGAAAACAAGACAATCGAAATAAAACGATTTTTGTGACAATCAGCATGCTAATCATTCCATCTATGTTTGGTTTTGGTTAGCTAACTACTACTGCTGCCACATCGTTTTTCGATTTTTATATATAGTATTATATACATATATATTGTAGCGTAGCGCTAAATTTTTTTTCGCTAACTCAATAGGTGTTGTTGTTAGTCACACCGTACGCTAAAACCTACCGACCGCTCGGCATAATCCCCGCCGGCTCCCAACGACAGAACGGAACAAAATGCACATGCGCGCTATACCTCGGTGCGTTCAAGGCACCCAAGAAAATGGAGTAACTAGCCAAATATAGTACAGTCATTTCAGAAACAATATTGGCAATAACACATAACATACAACCTCACATTCCCTCACCAAGTTACAATATTATATTTATATTTTTTTAGTTTGTTTTTTGGTCGCTTTAACGTTCAGTAAAGTTTCAAAGTTCAATAAAAGCAAATTCCTAATTCGCAAATCAATGAAAAGTCGTTTGATTCTTCAATAAGAATCAAAATAATCGTGATTCTGATTTTTGCCAGCCCGAGTTTGAATGATCACTTTTCTTTCTATTTATTTTCCATCTTTTCAAATTTCAACATTTCTTTAGGTTTGTAATTAAATCTGCATCGTGGAAAGTGTTTACATTTTTTTTTTTTTCGATTTTCTGAAACTTTGTCGAGTGAATGAAGCGATGCAGCATCTTCAAAAAGCTGTGAATTAGCAACAGGGCCTTATCCATCATAGTTTTTGCATATGTTACAACCTCGAAGCGCTGCTGCCGTCTGTTCGTCCAGATTGCCATGTTCTGGTTGAGTGGGTGATATAGTAGCTATGTTCTATCTCTTTGGCCCTTCCCGGTGTTTTTCTGCATGCCTCAGCACCATTCTTCCTTTTGTGTACTCGGGCTAATGTTGTTGTGACACAAGTTACACCGTGGAAAGTATACTGTGTCTTCTTCTGAATGTGAACCTAAGCATGTCAGTCGTCCAAGCAATTTTAAATTGACAGTGATGTGCTATCGCATATAATCATTTACACAAGGTAAACTGCTCGACCAAATATTTCAGGCAATGTTAAAAAAAAACAAAAACGTGACAGCATTTTGGGAACTTTATCTAACGGATGGTTGGTAGCCCTCCCTGTTGGGTTCCCTTTATTGTACACGGCAGCTTCTAAATGAAAGACAATTGAGCTGAGAGGAGAGACCCTGTAATTGCACGTCATTTTATGAAGTAACAGTAGCGTTAAAAAAAAAAAGAAGAAGCAAAAACTAGGAGATAAAAATGATCTGACATGACGCCACATCCCTACGCACCAAAATAAAAACAGTTACGAATCCCTTGTTTTTCGGATCTCGTCCAAAAGGTAAATGTTAATTAACAAAATTCCACAGTGGACCTACTGATTGGTCGGCTACCACATCCTTCTTTTTAACCATATTAGTCCACATCATATGTAATGGGAATTGGACTCATCCTGGACAAGATTTTTTCCCCAGCGAAGCTAATGAAAAAACGTTAGCTTGTTTCCCATTTTTCTATCGTCGATAAACCTTACTCTTCTCCTTGTAGAACTTGAATTTGTGAACACTGCCCCCTTCTGAAAACCATTGATAATATTTAGCTCTTCAAGTACCAACGGTATCACTTACGTGTTCAGCTAAGCTAGTACTTTTCAAATAGTGGGGCGGCCACCCCTAGGGGAGGCTTCAGGGGGCGTGAGGGTCTTCCAATGGAATATGGAACACTGGACATAAGTGTACCACTGCTGTAATGCTTAAATGATAACAAGCCTTTAGCCACTAGGTGGCAGCAACGCATACAGTGGTTTGTACAGATAAAAATATACATGTTATCAGGTTCTTATATATAGTATTTATAATAGTATTTCGATTTGCGGGGTTGTGGGTCAGGCGAGTGAGTACCACTAAGCTAAGCTAAGAAGAAGAACTTACCACTAAAAAAAGATTTTTTAGCCTATTTATCAGCCAAAATATAAATACCTTGTGCACCGCTAAAGGGATGCTAGGTACCGCTAAAGGGTCCACGTAGCTTAGGTACTTCGCAGTAATAAAACCACACATTGAACAAGTGGCAGCTCACAATACAGTTGAGAAAGCAACTCGATACGAAGCCATGTTGTTATTAAACTTAGATTAGCTGTTCAAAAAAAAAAAAAATCTATAGTTGAAATGCATTTATTTATAATAACTACACTCCCACCTTTTCCATTCTTGTGCCTGATGATCTTCAAATATTCAGTACCGCAGACGTGGTATGACTGTTACAACTATTTCTGTGGGGACTTAAGCAACATCCAAGCCTGTACTGTGTACTTTTTCTTTTATCGAGAATCACACACTCTCTCGACTCATGTAAAACTGCCTGCACAGACACGTGTATCTGGAGAAAACAAGTTTCCGACCAATTTGTTCTGTGCCGTCTTTGGTGCACAGATATGTTTTTTGTCTTTTGTGGTCTGTTGTAAAGCTTGGTCTGACTGGGAAAAAAAAACCAAAAAAAAAACCATTCTGCATTGGTTTTTATTCACTGCTCTGAACTAGATCCACACAGAAAGGAAATACGTTCTACGGCTCAGTAAACCCCGATGATTCACTGATGCGTTTACCGATTACTTTAACGCGTTAAAAGTCTGTGTCCGTGTCATTTAAAAAGAACAACTAACAAACTTTCTATCATTTTTTTTCCGTTGCTAACACATACATCTAGCGTATGAACGTGACCTTCACTTTGAACTTCCCACCTACCCGCGTGTGTCTTGCGCCGTTATTATTCCGAATCTGTCCACGGACATATAACGCTGAACCAAAGTGCCTCTGTGGTACACTCAAAATGATTCACAACAATACTGCTGTCTCAGCTGGTAACCTGCGTGGGTAGGGTTCAATATGAGGCATTATCCGGGATGAGCAACTTTGAACTTTTCTGTGTGTTGACTCGAGCGTCTCAACTTAAGGAAAATCTAGTTATCTATTATAACTGCGCGTCTCAAATAGTGGGGCGAGCCCCCCCTGGGGGGGCGGTGCAGTGAGGTGCCGGGGGGGCTTACAATGGAATATGACATGCTGATCTTCCTCTGCTGTAATGCTTGAATGATAACAAGCCTCCAGCCACTAGGGGGCAGCAACTCATACATTGGTTTGTACAGATAAAAAATATACATGTTATCAGGTTCTTAATAGTATTTCAATTCATAGGGGTGTGGGTCAGAGAAAGTGTTCTACCTTCATTGAAAACATTAATATATGTTTAGAAATATAAACCCAATATACTATATATACACATATGTTTGGATGCTGATTAAAGGCATGTAGCTATGTGGCATATAGTATGATTCAATTCTTCTTGCATATGGCAGTACTCAAATAGTGGGGCGAGGCACCTGGGGGGCACGCTGGACATAAGTGTACCATTACTGTAATGCTTGAATGATAGCAAGGTCCAGCCACTAGGGGGCAGCAACTCATACAGTGGTTTGTACAGATAAAAAATATACATGTTATCAGGTTCTTAATAGTATTTCAATTCATAGGGGTTGTGGCTCAGAGGGGGGGGTGTGAAGACATTTCTGTCCCCAAGGGGGAGCTTGACAGAAACTAATGGAGAACCACTGCGTTATAGGAACAAATAGAAACAAATAAACAGTAATAGTACAATGGCTCTGGCTGGAGAAAGTTGTGAGCTCGCAAGGTTATTTGGACAGTCAGCATTACTGTAATAGCCGCAATGGTTTACTAACAACGTTGGCTTGTGTTTAGTGTGTGTGTGTGATATTACTTGGATTTATAGTAGGTTTTTTTTTCATCCAGGAAAATTATGAAAGACCTCGCTAATCTCCTGTAGACACATTCTCACTGACAGCAAGCCTGTTTATGTATTTACTGAATGTACAGTGTGTAGGTGTCCTCAGAGACAGCAGTGTAATATAGCCAGCTGAATACAAAGCACCTTTTTGCATATGTATAACAATGTTTTTTTTTTTCCTTTTCTCCAGCCTGTCATACACTGTTGTTTTTTTAACACGTACTAGCTAACATGCTACCTTTGTCCTCATTTCTTCTTTGTTTTTCTTCTTGTCTCTCTTCCAGTACGAACAGCTCTAATAGCTATAATCGGATTTATGCCGACGAAAGGAGAAGGGGCAATTGGATCACTCGATTATACCCCGGAGGAGAGGAGGACCCTTGCCAAAAAGTAAGATTTAGTAGATAACAAAAAAAAAAAACTTACTTTTTTTATTTATTCTTTTGCCAAGTGTGTATCGTGAATAATTTGTTATGGTAATGAAAGGATTTGAGAGGAGCAGTGTGGAACCATGTGTGACAATATGAGCTCGCAGGTGGGATTGGCAAACACCGAGAAGGGGCGGGGGGCGGGGGGGGTACGATATCACAGGCATGACTCTTGTTAGATGACATTAACCCAACTCAGCTCTGCACAAGCATGTAAAACAATCAGCACCTGAGCCTCCGAGGACAAGACTCCCCACTAATAACTTTCTCCGGTCACAATGGGAGATCATCCTGCCCAGGCTAGCCCCTGGCATCGCAAGACGACAAATACGCATGCCAAAATATCCTCTTTGTCCTCTTCCTGGGGGGGGGGGGGGTGGAGGGGGAGGGGCATGAGTGGGCACATTGCTCCTCATTTCACACTGCATTTCCCTCAGAGAGCATGGCACAAAGGCAGAATATGAGAAGCTCCAGCTAATGTCACTCTCCTATTTGCAGTGGAGACGGGGTCTTGATCAGCTAGCGCTTTCATTAGCACATGGAGATGAGATAGACACTAAGGCACACTTTGCTATAAATACGAAGCTGCTTATCTCCCCCCCGATGGAAGTTTTTCCTCTTCAGTCCGTGGCTGAGGCAGCACTTCTCTTTAGTTTTCTCATCTCCTGGTTCTATACCCCTGGTGATTGGAAGCGCTGTCAGTCAGAGAAAGAACAGCAGAAAAAGGCTCCTGTCCCAATATATTTTTTTTTTTTTTTTTTTTTTTTGAGTTCGCCAAGTTCATGACTGACAAGTAAACTGCCATAGAATCTGGCTAGCAAGAAATCAGGCCAGGCAAAAACAAACACAGGACCCTATGGAGGTCGGCGAGTCATACAAATAAATAAAAATAAATGTCACACACTCCTTATAGTCGAGTTCTCATATCGTATACAGGAGTCCGCCTTTCGGGCAAAAGTATTAGTTATGCTGTTTTTTTCTGCGTGTTTTCATCCTTTTCAATACAAGAAGTACACGTATATTAGAAAATATACATATTTGATGAAATATAATTTTACAAATCATCATAAACATGAGGTGTTTGGGCTTTTTCTGCTTTCAAAATTTGTCAAGCGGACCGGATTGAACCCCCTAGCGGGCCAGTTTTGGCCCACGGGCTGCATGTTTGACACCCCTGGTTTAGCGCATAGGGTTGGGCTTAGGTATTTTAATATTGATATATTTTTTTTCCGATGTTTGAAACTGAAATTTTAACCAATATTGGACCGATGCTGATCCTGATTTTGTTTATAATTTTTTTTTCCCGATGTTTGAAACTGAAATTTTGACCAATATTGGACCGATGCTGATCCTGAGTATCAGATCGCTCCATCCCCGTATCGATTTTATTTCGATCAGATAGTTTTGCTGACAAACCGATCACCTGATGGAGAATGTGGAAAAAACTTTGTTTTTTTTGTTGGTTTTAAGTAAATCTTCAATAAATACAGAGGCAATTGTTTAATGAGACATGTTGCTCAACTGTAGCTAAGCCAACCAGCCAGTGGGGTCTGAACTAACAGATAGTGGATAATCTGTTTTTACCCGTTAGCTGAAGCCGCACATTACAACTAGCATTTTGGTTACAGGCACACACACTTTTGTTAAATATTATAATGGATGCATGGATTAGCGTAAATGTGGGGAAAAAAAAAATCATATTAGAACAGAATCAGTTCAATAACAAAATGATTTCTCTGGGAGAAAAAAAAATGTTTTCCAAATTTGAATAGAAGGGGTTTTTTCTTTGGCAAAGTACACAGAGAAATGTAGTTTTCAAAATATAATTGTACAAGTTACAAGTTGAATTAAATTATAATTCACAAGTCAGAGAAACTGATTTTCCGAATTAAGCGCTGCATACTTTTTAAAATGACTTTTTTGTTAAAAAAAAAAAACAGTAAACATCAAAGATACTTATTTTTGATTTTTTTTTCCCCCCCTAAACTTTGCCAGAAGTGACGTTCACAAAACTTCACTGAAAATCACACGAACGGCACGTCCTTACAGCGACACAATTTGGATCGTGTTTTTTTGCTGGCAGTGCGTTTTGTTTGTGCATCGAATCTCTCGAGAATTGGACTCCACCTGAGACATGTAAGTACATTTCGGCTCTCCTTTAATTTAAGGAGTTGTCACCGGAGGGGTGCAGCTGCCGTCTGGTGACACGCTGAGCCTTCAGTGACGGCTCCTGCTCTCATTGTGAAGCAGAGTTCACAGAGCGTTGGATTGTTCGCCCACTAATGGGGAACGTGATTGGGGTTTAGTCCGTCATCAGACAGTTCAGTTCGTTCTTTCTTTTTTTTTTTTTTTTTTTTTTTTTTTTTACACCTTACCTCGCAATTTTTGGTTAACCAAAGCTCAGGCACAGGGTGCACTTAATCTTCTTCGTAACTGAGAGTACATTGCATAACTTATCGTTCTTGGTAAGGGATTAACTGTAATTTACAGCGTAGATGGCGGATATGAATGTTTGCGCGAACGTTGCAGGAAGCTAAGTAGCTAATAACACGGTTGTATTTCATGTTTAAAATGTCATTTTTTTTGGATGAAGAGGTTTGGGGCCCTCCAGAGTCTCCCAGTTCGTGATAAATCATCCAGTCAAGTTAACGCGCAGAATTAATGTTAACGTCATCAGGCAAAAAAAAAATCCTACATATATCAGTCTGCGAATGCATTCATCCGCCTACCCCCGGGGGAAAGAAAACTAAAAATAGTGACATTTTTAAACAGAGTAAAAAAAAAAAAAATCTTTGCCATAATTTTCTTTTCTTGTGCTGCATTAAAAACAGTCTTGGGATCTTTTTTTTTTTTTTTTCCAGCTTAAGTTTAATGAAGTGTCAGTGCTCCAGGTGAGCCAAGATTGATACGATTCTCTGAAGTGGTTTTATTGTCTTTTATTGCAGACGGTCCCATAGCATGGCAACAGTGCAGTGGAGCTGATGAGGACAGTTTAGGTGTGGGAGGGGAATTCTCTGCCGTCTATGACCCAAGGGTTAGCCTGTTGTTGTTTGTGAAAGAGGTGGACGAATTTGTGAAAATTCACACACACAAAAAAAGCCTTGCGAAACACGTAATACGAAGGACAACATACTGTATAGTGAGTCCAATGGAGTGGTTCGCAATTATTTTCTGTCATGCGCCCCCTAGAGCACAGGTGCCAAATCTGGCCCGTCCTGTAATTATATTTGGCCCGCCAGAGTTTTCCCGCCATTATATATCCGCTATATACTTGCAAGATTTGTAGTATTAGCGATGTATGCACGATATTATAGCACATATATTTGTGGTTGTTCTTTTGTTGGCCTGTAATAAAATAATAAGAAACGAAACTAACCCCCCCCCCCCCCCCCCCCCCCCCCCCCCGACACCTCACCGCGCCCCTCCAAGCAGATCCGCCCCGCTCTTTGAGAAGCACCGTAACTCTTTATCTAACAGGAAAACGAAAGAACGGCGTGATCAGAGTCCCTTTGTACGGAGTTGCGGAGCAGAGGCTTGTATCAACTTAAAAATGGGCCGCAGTGTTGATACTTGAGGTCAAAAGAAATCAGATTGTTGTCCTCTTGTACCACTCGTACAACTATGAGACTGTCACAACTAAAACCGTGTTCAATTTCACAAGAGCCCAGACTGAAGAACGTCATCCCAGATGTTGTCTCGGGAATGCTTATTGTGTCCCTTTGTCGCGGATGACTTACAGTTTCTTCTTAATTATCTTATCGTGACTCGATCGAGAACTTTATTCAGTACAGCGAGAGGTTATTGAATGATGTCACGATGAATTTGTTGGTAAATGTCATCATTTTCCCCACTGTTATCAGGAGTTTCTGTTAGGTAAGGCCTACTTATACTTGCATGTATTATTTGATGTCATCATTTTCCTCGCTGTTATCAGGAGTTTCTGTTAGGTAAAGCCTACTTATACTTGCATGTATTATTTGAGAAAAAAAACAAAAACAACCCACATCATTTTAATTAAAATCAAGAAATGCTGACATTCAGCACAGTGTCAGCAGGCGTCCATATAGGGATGCAACGGCAATCAAATGTCACAGGCGAGAGAGTGGATTTCAATCAAGGAGGAACGGTTTTGTTCTAATGTTAGTGGGTGAAAATACGTGGCGTTACCTACGGAGAAAAACCCAAGCATGTCAACCATTCTGGCCTGATTTATTTCATCTTCTGGGTAAGGGATAAAAAAAAATCTTACGACTTACTGTACATACTCGCATATAAGCCAAATTGAAAACACCAAAAAATAAAGATCGAATCGGTGGGGGTCGGCTTATATGCGCATCCATCGATCGCATCATCACCGATATTTAAACACCAAGTCGAACGTATGGTCAAAAATATCATTACATTCAATCCACAACTGATATTTTATATTTATTTTAACTGTACCACTGATATACTGTGCAAAAAAAAATCACATCTTTTCCGAATTTCGCAACAAACATTGGCGAAATCTTCGCAATTTTAACGTAAACAGTGTTTACCAAGATAATTTGTTGACATTTTACCACCGCAAAAAATGAAAACATGTCCAGCTTGTATGCGAGTTTCTGTAAAAATCACCATTTTGGGATCAATTTTCAGGAGTCGGTTTATACGCGAGTATATACGGTACATCCAGATTGTCCGTGAAAGATTTAAGGTTTGAGTTTTACACCTAGAGTAGTAACTCTGTCATTGTACCTTAGAGATAGTGTATGAATTGAAGATCGTCGTTTACCTTATCCCACAGCTAGGACGGGAGTGTGTTAAAATAAAACATTGTGAATGTGAAACATTAACTCCCAGCTCGACATTTTAGTACCAACCAAGATGTTTTAAAATATGCATCGAGTTCGAAGTGTTCTGCGTGGCCCCGCGAGTTTGAATGCGGACCTTTACTTCAGATTCACGACTATAATTTATTTAGTGGAGCTCCGTAAAAGGCTAATCAGTCACTGCCCCCCCCCCCTCGAAAATGTCTCTTAGTATTTGTAAATGCTCCTTTTCCGTCAAGGTCAAAACCGAGCCCGATGTTTAAGGAGAAATGCCTTTGAAATTCACAGTGACATGACATCGACCGTTAAAACTTGATCTTTAAAAATAACACCGCACAGGCTGACTTAAAATGACAATTTTAGTATTCATGAGACACAACCTTTCTCCCACACATGCAAATGTCATTGTTTGCCAGGGCAGCAGGTTGAGAGTTATGCCTCCTGGCTGCAGGCTAATTTTAAACACATGAAAAAATTTGGAAAAAAAAATAATAAAAAAATTAACACATAGGAGCAGTTGCTGCCATTTTGTTTTTTACATTTGCCTCTATTAGAATTGTGACTGGAACGTATGTGAACATATGATCAAAAATAAATATGTGAATATTTCACCGGTGCAAATGTAGACCACGTCTCATTTAAGTTAATTTCTCAGCCCCATTGATTGGCTGGGGAACTTTTTACGAATTATTCATTGTTCTCGCTTGAAAAATGACTGCGCAGAGACCTTCACCTTTCCTCTTAGGGGTGATAATGAAAATGGTAAACAGATTTGAATAGTCTGACCACATACAACACAAATTGTTCTGGGCTAAAAGCCAACTATTATAGCCGTTTTCTGTCTGCATTCTGATTGGTCCCCCCTCGGTCTCCCAAACAACTCCCCCTAACTTGCATCCACCAGATCGCAACTCAAAATATCTTACTAACGATGCAACCCGCAAGGCCTGTTTTTTCTCGGAAAGGAAAGGGAAAAGAAAGGACTGCATTCTAAAAGGGTATTTTCGGTCGAAAGGTACAAATTACAAAGAGATTTTACGCTGGAAAGTGCTGGACTTGTATGTGGATTCCCTCCACGTTTGACTGATTTAGTGCAAATTGAAGTTGAAAACCAACCGCAAACGTTGCTTTTTATGTAACCGGTTGCCATCATATCAATTCTCTGTGATCGCCCAGACTTGAAAGCAGCCCAGGAGATAACTTCCGATAGCTTTTCGTGGAAACATTTTCAACGCTTTGCTAAGTACCTGAAGCCTATTTAGGCATTCTTTCTCCTCGGCTATAACACTACTTCACTCAAATGGAATAGGGTGTACATTTCAGTGTAGAAGGAGATTGGTATTTGCATCATTTAATTCCATAATGTATCCAGATCTATACATGGAACCCTGCGTGCGAGGAACCAAGATGTTGTGTTACCCGCAGCACGATTGATAAACTCTTAACATCACTCCATTAGCTGCTGCAAGGGACGATTAATTTGTTTTTTATAAGGGAAACTCACAGAAAGAGCCATTAGGTGTTGTCTTTTCTTTCCTTTCTTTTTTTTTTTTTTCAGTTTTCACATCCCCCTGTTTTGTTGATATTAGTAAACATTACACTGAAATATTGGACATTCTCAAGCCTGGTTCTGGTACTTGAATGTCCCAGGTAGCAGGGGACGAAAAAAAAAAAAAAATCCAAGCACAGCATAATTTCAAGTACATACGGATCCTTGTAAAAAGTATGGCAGTATAGGCTAGTAGTATTTGCGGTTGCCGTTTTCGCCGTCTAGCCGCGGGGTAGTAGTTCTGTTGGCCGAAGCTGTAGATTTGTGAATTAACTTCCGCACAGATTTTACATGATTAATTGATAGGAGAACCCTGTGTGGTTTTTGTTCGTTCGTGTCGACTGTGGCAGCTGTCTCGCGGTAGCTATGTACACACGGGGTGATAAACAGACAGTATGAATCTTCGAGTGTTTGTTCATTGATGCTCTCACGGCCACGGAGTTGTGACATGTTTCGTTATATCATCGGTTTATCTAAACAAGCTCTGTGTGTCGGTGCTCCGGTTTTAGCTTTGTGAATTTATGATTACAACGCTTACAGAAGTTTCCTGGCTGAGATATCGCTATGTAAAAAAGATCAAGAAACTCTTTGGATAGCTGTCCTGCTGAGGTGAAGGCGGAACTGTTTGAATCAATCTACAGGAAACTCAATCTCTCGAAGAGCGAAAACATTCGCGGGTATATATATATATATATATATATACTGTATATATATATATATATGTATATATGTATATATATGTATATATATACATATATGTATGTATATGTATGTATATATATATATATACACATATATACACACATATACATATATATCAGAATTATTCCATTTTTTATGAGTTGTTCTCTAATTTTGATCTCCAGTGTACATACATATATATGTATGTATATATATACATATATATGTATATGTATATATGTATATATATATATATATATGTATATATGTATGCATATATATATATATTACAAATATTTAAGTATTTGGATGCGTTTTATTGAAAACCGTGGCTTTTCGTCCCCGAAACAAATCCGTACGGAGTCACCCGTCTGAAAACACAGACTTCATGTGCAAAAACTTTTTAAAGATGTAAAAAATTAAGGATGTAAAAAAAGAACGTATGTATAGTCAATAAAATACACTGCTACATATATGGCAACTGTGAAGAAAAAAAAACTGAAGTCTAAAAAACTATAAAAGTAGTCCTGCTATAGTCCAGTCCAATGTAATCTGTTGTTGTCTGAGAATGTTTTTTTTCCCACAGTCACAGTCTTATCTCATACACCACAGCTGTGCAAAACAGTAAATTAAAGACCAAACAAAATATGGGGCGGGCCACCGCACAGGGACTGCAGAGCGTTGGTTACTGGCCTCTAGATTAGCGCAAACACGGCTGTATTTAAAAACTAAGTGAATCACCAGAATATCACCGGCGGTGCAAGCAGAATCGACCGAGGCCACTGCTGTACGGTGATAAGTTCTGCCATGTGTTTGTTTGGGTTTTTTGTTGTCCTGGAATTTCAAAAAAAAAAAATGGTACAGAAGGTTGACCATGTGTCAACCTTACCTCCCGCAGGTCCCAGGACTTCTGCTGCGAGACATGCGGCTGCTCCATGCGATCTGCCCTGCAGGACCTGACTCCCAACAGCCAGCCCAGTGCTGAAGACCACAAGGCTAAAGAACTGGCTCAGCAAATCAGCTTCAAGGTACTGCAAGTGGATGAGATTTGACTGACATTACGGTGACGCCATTACCTTAGAGGAAGAGCCGTTTATAGCATCAGAGCCTCGTAGACAACGTATGGACGCGACAAATGTATTCAATTGGTTTCTGTAGGGGAAGCGCAAAAAATAAAGTACTTGCATTTATAGCCTCATAGTCTTTCGAATTCCACCATGATGCTGATGTGGCCTTGGGTGAAAACGAGTTCGTAGCCTCGCTTACGAGGCTTCAATCTCCTATTTCCAGCTGGGAGCCTATTTGTGTTTATGGCCGCACGCAACTCTCTCTTTTTTAACTGAGGTTTGAATGGCGAAATAATGTCATGTGTTTATATTGAAGTATATTTTTGACCCCGAGGTGAAATGAACCGAAGTTTTCTTACATGCGACCAAACTTTCTAGACTATTCAACTTTTAAACCAACGGTACGATAGCTGACGCTGTGAAATTAGTGTGTAGAGCCAGTGGCAGAAACCCTTGTTAGGGGGATGTCACTGAAGTCTTTTGTACAGAGGAAGTCACAGGCATTAGGGGGTAATTGTTGTAACTGTCAGCTAACAAAATTAGCCTGGCAAAAATCTTTCGTTTTTTCCAAAAAAAAAAAAATCTTAGATCGTCATTAACGAATCAGTGAATGTTTGACATTTTGAGCATCGTCAAATCCGCACACACATGGCTTGGCCAAAGTTAATTATAATAACAAAAATACAGATATATACAAGGGGAAAAAAAAGCGTAGTTATTATAGTAAAGATTTTTACCGAAGTACCGATTACTACATGAAAAATCTTGCTGCACTGCCTGTTTTCAGACTCCGCTTCTGAAAGTCTACAGCCTTGGCAGATGGCCTTCATTTTTCTTGCCGACTTTTATAATCATTAACACATTATGGAAATCTGCAGGTGCTAACGACTTTCATCCGTGATGGATTCACTGTGGTCAGGTGAAGTGAATGCCGACGATATTTTCTCTCACGCAATCAGAGCATTTTTCTTCATGTGAAATCACTGCTAACTATTAAGTTAACATTGTTAGCCCATATTGTAAAAGTCACAAACCTTCGCGACCCAAGTCAATAAAAAGTCAAAAAACTTCTGGGACCCTCTTGCGACCCAGCCTTTGGGAAACGTTGCGTTAGCCGACAAAGGTTGCTAAATACATTTAAAAAATGATGACGACTGCGTTTTTTTTATATATATATATATTCCATGCAGACAGAAACCTCTTCATCCAGACAAGCGAGTGAGAGCGGCGGTGCGGAATCCAGCCCTTCATCATTAGACCTGGAAGAACCCTCCACCTCTGCCAGCCGTGAAGCTGCTGCTGCTGCTGACACGTCGCCTGCCGAACAGGTGAGATTAATAGGGACGACACGCTGTATAATCTGCATACAGACAAGCCGACAACGTACAGAGCAGACGCTTCCTGTACTTACTTGGCATTTTTACCTTTCCAAAACCCAGATAAATGGCTTTGTTTCGAGCACATTCAAATGCCGTTCTTAGAGATATAGTTGTTCCCTGCAAAGTTCACTGTACCGTTAAAGTAATCGCACTTAACGTGTCTGTACCTTCGCTGTCGCACTTTCACGCTCACTTTGTGTAAAATATGATGTTGTGCCTGAGATATTGCTGCAGTGCACCGCTGCAGTTGTTGCCTAGGTAACAACCAATTGGAGTAGTTAGTTGTGACTTCCGTTTTAGCAAAGTTAACGGAGTTGGTTTCAGCGCGTGGATTATTAGGGACAAATTGGGTCACCTTTATTTGCGAAAAATCATTAATATCGGACAAAAATATCAGAGTAAATGAATTAAATCAAAGTCCGTGAAAAGGCTCCACTGAGTCACCGAAATTAAAGATTAAGTCTCAAGGGAATGGCCTTGCATACGAATGAAGGACGGGTGGCCTGTGTGTTTAAAATGCTGAAATTGCTAAAAGTCGATTTCCATTTGTAAGGTCAAAAAAAAAAAATCATAAAACGCCTTTTTGTCAGTGGGATTCATTTATTCACAGGGAATGAAATGAAATCCCCATGCAATGCTCTGTCAATTAAAAAACAGCTCGTTATATACATATCCTGTCAGTATTATATTTAAAATATATTAACAAAAAATATCACGCAAATTCAGAGCTTTGGTTGATTGTTTTTCCATGAGCCCGCTAACCCTTCCGCAACAACAACAACAACAACAAAAGTCTACCGGGAAAATGTTGACTTTGTTATACAAGGGGTAAAACCAGGTCATCACAACAGATCGTACTTCTGGAGACACATTACAGATGACGACAAAAACCAAAATGCTAATTTTACAGGATACTGATCAGGTTTCGGGAAACAGGCGATGTTTTCACGAGATACGGATCACATTTCCACACGATAATGAAAATGTGTTTACAACACCTTTACTTTACAGATCACAAATGCTGATTGCAAATCTGCGTTTTAGATAGGCACAAATCCTGTCCCTTTGTTTTCTTTGTGACCACCCACCCACCATTAACCCACCACTGATGCATCCATACTGGTAATCCCTGCACACTAGCTTAAGCGTACTGGCAAGAGTAACCATTCTTGCACCACCTAGTGTTTTAAAAAAGCATGTGAATACCAATTAATCATGATTAATCGCAGTTGATTAAGATGACCGTATTTTCCGGACAACAAGTCGCTCCAGCCAAAAAATGCATAATCGTCAAAAAATGCATAATGAAGAAGAAGAATTGATTAAGATGACCGTATTTTCCGGACAACAAGTCGCTCCAGCCAAAAAATGCATAATGAAAAAGAAGAAAAAAACATATATAACTTGCTCCAGAGTATAAGTCGCACCAGCCAAAGGATGGAAAAAAAGTGCGACTTACAGGAGTAGCAGATACTGGTACACAAGCCTAGAGTGCCCTCTAGCGGCTGTCAGTGAGAAAATAACACGGAAATTTTCAGTGGTACAGGAGTAGCAGATACCGGTACACAAGCCTAGAGTGCCCTCTAGCGGCTGCCAGGGCGAAAATAAACATGTAAATTTTCAGTGGTACAGGGGTAGCAGATACTGGTACACAAGCCTAGAGTGCCCTCTAGTGGCTGCCCGTGTGAAAATAAACATGTGAAATTATATATTTTAATGTATGTCGAACCCGAGTAAAAGTCGCAAACTCGGGCAAAGGATGGAAAAAAAAGTGTGACTTTTAGTCCGGAAAATCTGGAAAGTTTAGAATGTATGTCGAACCCGACTAAAAGTCGCAAACTCGGGCAAAGGATGGAAAAAAAAGTGTGACTTTTAGTCCGGAAAATCTGGAAAGTTTAAATTCCTAAAATATGTCAAAAAATTATATTTTCTTTTAATAACTGGGAAGGAAAGAGCTAGGTGAGTCTGACGCAAGCCTCATTTCTGAGGTGATGTAGTTACCATGGTTAACGGGTAACCCTTCTATATGTCTATGTATATCAGTATACATGATATAATATATGTATTCCTAATCTGTTAAATCATAGGGTAGTTGTGGATTAATCATGATACAGTATGAGTAATATAGTAGTATTTCACTTAGCTTTTTCCTCTGTTTAAAATCATATTGATGCAAATGCGCCGATAATGTGATTAAAACCAAATTCCCATCAACCTCATTTGGTTAATAGCTTCCTGTCGGGCGTTTACGGAGAACAGAAAGGAAGTATTCGATCAGAATACAGTCGCGGAGATTTAGCGGGGTTAGGCGGATGAGCAGAAAAGTACCCTCGGAAATAAACCCGTTATTACGTTTGTGTGAACTTTTCTCCTTTGTTCATTAAAGATGCATGGCAGTGGAAGAATCGGTGGGTGTTCCGAGGCACCGCGCTAGGCAATCAGACAGATTCTGTGGTGCTGTGTGTTTACAGTTAGTCGAAACCCCCCTCCCCGCCCCCCCGCCTACCCCTTTTCTCACATCACTCGGTTGTAAGATTGTTTGGTAAATTCATCAACAGCTGGCATCTCGCTGTTTTACAAAATCCTCTTAAATTAGTAATGACGGATTCTGTTCGCCGTTAATGTTTTATTTGTACTGGGTTATGTGTGGGATCAAGCAGAGGCATTTGGGTGGGCTCCCTCCCTCTCTCTCTCTCTGCTAACATCACTGCAGATGTGTTGTGGGAGCTTGAAGCCTGTCTTTTTCCCCAGCACCACCTCAGATGGTGAAACTTAAGAGGATTGACTTTGTTGCATGCTGCTCTTGAAAGAGCCACGGCAGCCCACCGAAGAAGCAGAGCAGGAACTTTAGATTAGTGGTTTTTTTTTTTTTCCACTTTGGAGAAATGAAGCAGGGCCACGTCCAAAAATAACACTCGACATCTGTCACTGACATCGGAGGCTAGAACACTCGCTCTAAATGGATCTTTCCCCCCACCCTCCCCCCCTCTAATGTCAGCTCAGCCCATAGCGCCACACACTGCTCTGGGACACCAACTGTAGGAATGTGTGTCTACTGCTTATTGCTTCCCACAATCTCATCGGCTCACGTCAGCTATTGTCTTGGTTACGTGCAACTTGCCAGAGTTGAGTCAATTGCGGTTTTTTTCTTCCCTCCTAATAGACTCTATCTCCGTGTTGTGTTCACTGACAGTGTACCAGAATTTTAATACTACTAGGCTGTTTTTGTTCAAAGAAAAATACTTTAGAAATACCGTGATTTTAATTTGAATGAAAATAACGAGCAGGAAAAAAACGACCATCGTTCGCACTTACAAGAAGGACAGAACTGCTGCTAATGATGAAGTCTGTTTACGAGTCGTCTTCTTGCCAGTGTCTTATTAGACACTGTTCAGACCATTAAATATCCAGTAACGCTGAAAACCAATTTATTAGGCTCATCACGATGTTTTTCAAATGTCAGCTATGATGACCCTCAAAAATATTCCCATACAGTAGTGGTAAAAAAACTAGATAGTAACATACTATACATTTTTTAACTTTATTGGCGCCACACTGTGTTGTGTTTGTTGACTTATCTATTGATTGATCGACTGATATTTGTTTTGTGTTTCTGTGTCTGGCTGCTTTTTTTTTTTTTTTGGTTTTTTTTTTTTTTTTTTTGCCTTTGATGGATGCGCTGTGTTGTTGCAAAAATAAATATTTTAGTCCTAACAATCAAAGTAATCCTTAGTGTTTCAAGACGTATAAATGTTTGGGGTATTTTTTTTTAATCCAGAGAAAGTGTTGTTTTCAAAAGAATCTTCAAAAAGTCTTGACTGCGTTCACAGCATTGTGATGACAAGAAAAAAAAATCTTTGTATTCAGAAAAATATGCGCGATTGAACTATATGATATGAACTTTTTGCCGATATCCGATATGCCGTTATTGTCCAAACCCTTAATTTCGGGCATCCCTACACAAAAACAATTCGCAATAAGAACCAGACCGAAAGTAATTAAGAAAACAAAGAAATCATCTTTGTGACTCGTACTTAGCGACTGATGATTGATGAGTTCCATTTTTTTTTTAAAAATATAATTTCCCCCAATAAGTTTCTTTATGTGCTATAAAGTCTTTTGTCATATCCTTGAACACGAGACAAGATTTTGAGAACACGACGGATTCAGTTCTCTCACTCCTCGCACCCACACAAAATCACAAACAATTGACTGAACTACAATCAGATGTGAACGCGTGAACAAAAGCCCCCTGAATAATTGAATACTGCCTTTCTCCGTATCTAAGACAGAAAAGTACATTTTCTCACCGTCTTACCGGCACTCTCCTCCAAACAGGTTCTGCGCATCATTGAGAGTGATGTTCGCCGATTGAGTAATCAAAACAAATGCACAGTCTGTACACCAAATGCTTTTTCCAGCTGCAGCATCAAGAGAATACTCATTTCGAACCAAATTAGATTTATCACTTTTTTGGCTAAAAAGATTTTGCTTTTTTTTCCCCTCTAATGAAAAAGTTGAATTCTGACCAATCAATCAAATACTTGATCTCCCTTGACGACGTTGTGTTTCAGCCTGCACAGAAAATAATAAAAAAACAACCCTCTCTGACTCTGTAAACCCTTCATCATTTTTATACACATTTAGGATCCATTATGACCAGATGAAGCTTTTAGGTTTTTCTCCCTTTACAACCTTTTATTCCCTGTAATTCGGCTATTTTGGCCTAAGAGCAGGGAGTGACAAACGACCGACGCTTGATGAACATTCAGACAGGGGTCGTAAATTTCTGGATTCTTTTAAGCCCTAGCTTTAAGACGTAAAGCTCGCCGCTTAAATATAGGAGTAGAACGAAAATGGTTTTTGATGATCGACTGTTCCTGTCTGGAAATGCAGGGTTCTTATATTTTGTAATTTCGTAGGAAGAAAGATGGATAGATAGATCTGTCAATAGATCGATCGATCAATGGATAGACAGATAGATCGATTGATAGATAGGTAGGTGGATGATAGATAGATGGATGGATGGATAGATGATAGAAAGATAGATAGATATGTCGACGATAGATAGATATGTTGACGATAGATAGATATGTCGATGATAGATAGATATGTTAACGATAGATATATAGATATGTCGATGATACTCATCATTAAAGGACAAAGACGTCTAGTGGACTTGACCACATGGAGTCGCTGCTCTCTTCAGTCAGTGATAGATATATAGATATGTCGATGGCACAAAAGCCTGTATGTAGTAAGTTAGCCTAACAAGGTGTGGAAGTGAAATAGATAGATATGTTGACGATAGATAGATATGTCGATGATAGATAGAAAAATCAACGTAATGAAAGAATAAAAATAAAGCTCAACTTTTTTAGCTAGCGAATGTGAATAATTAGAAGTACCATGTTTCTTTAATCCAAATGGTGTTGAATTAAAACACTACATGTAACGGCAAAACGTTAATCACAACTCCATGTGAAATCGAAGTTGTCCCAGCTTGGCCCGACAGCTTGAACTAATTATGTAACTAATGTTGACTACGTAATATTTGACCCTCTGTGCTTCCCTCTCCTTCCTTCCTTCCTTCCTTCCTCCTCCTCCTCCTCCTCCTCCTGCTTTACAGTCAGAGGCTTCTCCGGCCGCAGAAACAGGAACAGAGTTGTCAGAGCCCCAGGTCGCACCTGAACCTGGACGCCCTCTCAGTCCCCGGCAGCGTCGCGCCCAGCAGCGTAGCTGTCAGGGTCAGAGAGAGGTCACAGACGCGGCCAGCAGGGCGACCTCCGCCGCTGCCCCTCGTCAGCCTCAGGAAGAAAGCCACACGGGCTCGGCCGTCCTCATCGTGCTGCTCACCCTGGCCCTGGCCGCGCTCGTGTTCCGCAGGATCTACCTGTCTCACGAGTACAAGTTTGACTATGAGCTGTGACCCCACACACGCCGACCCACTGGACCATGCCACCTCCTCTATCTTGTTCTCTTCACTCCCCCTAACTCGCCCCCCCCCCCTCGGCCCCCCCGCCTGTTGCTGCCACCATTCAAAGTCATCTTTGACCAGCTCGGGCGGGACTGAGGCGGCGACCTTTGCTCTCTGCGACGTTCACTCTTGTCGGCAGAAGAGGGTTTTAAGCCAGAATCGTTCATTCCTGCAGGAGGGACTCCACTCACTTCAACGCCCACATGTTGTATTTTACTCAATGTGAATTTAATTGTGCTAATTTTTTTTTTTTTTTTTCAAGGATTGAAGCTTTTGTTGTTCAAGGTTAGCCACCTGTGTTCATCACATGTTACTTTTCTGTATAACTGTTTGTATAGTAGCCCGAGGCTAACGCTTCTTCAGTTTGTTTTTATCCGAAGTGTAGGATGATTTGTCATGCGGTAGATGGTGAGATAGTTAATCATTCTTCTACGTGTGACGTTCTGGACGGTTGCATCGTTTTACATTTGAGGCTACGTCCCGGTGTTGTGAATTTCAATTTTTTTATTTTTTTTTTCTCCTGCTGCCGAGGGACATTAAAGAAGCTGTAACAGACGAAGCCCTTGGTAATCTGTGTCCTGTGTACACGCTGGTAGACAAAGTAGAACACAAGACAAAAGAGAGCGAGATAGACAGAGAGAGAGAAAGAGAGAGAGAGAGAGAGACGATTTTTTGAGCGTTCAACTCGTGCACACGTCCAAAAATCAAACACTGGAACAGGACTAACAGTGTTCAAACAGCATTTCATTTTAATGTTGTTTTCCAAAAGACCGATGGTCTCCTAAATGCCCCCGTGTGTGTTTGTGTGTCGAGCAGATGTATCGAGCCGGTGTCCTCACTTCCTGAGTCGACAGGCGGGAAAGTGACAAATTAAAGAAATTTTGTACCCATTACGGGGCATCTGGGGATAACACTGACTGCCAGGGCCGCGGCCTACCTGCATGTAAGAGCGCAGAGCCCAAGTTTGCTTTTTTTCATTTTTAGCCTCCGTGTTGTTAGACGTAATCAGATTAGAGCAGTCGCGCTGACTGCGGGAGATGTGAAAACAGCTCCCATCATGGCCTCTCGACATTTGCATTTCTCAACAAACTGCCAGTGGTTCGCAGTGAAATGGACAACGATTTTTTTTTTTTTTGGACAACAGCCTCGGGGAATCTGTGTCTGTCAAATATGTAAGTAAACAAACAAAACATCGGAGTGTTACCACAAACTGTTTTGTTGTTTCGAAGGCATACTATTTACTATGCTGTTTTCCGAAAACTCAAATAGTATTTCCGAGAAACCCAGGCTGGCATCAACAATTGAATTTAAAAGACAAATAGTAGACTAGACACTGGCGTAGCTGAGGACAGATGATACATTAGAGCTACAGAGTGAATCTTTGGAAATGATATAGTAACTAGAACACTGGTTCCTCCTTTTGTAGAAAGGACTGATGGCCTACCTTAGCTGACCCCTTCACAGGACTTGTTTACACTTGTTTACACAAAGCGTCCCTACACATGTATCCTCTAATTTTGTTTTATTGTCCATTTTCCTTTAAACAACACTGAACAGAATTGAAACTGAAAAACTGAAACTGGCAAAAAAAAGGTCCCGGATCTTTCGTTAATACCGTATTTTCCGGACTATAAGTTGCACCAGAGTATTAGTCAAACCAGCTAAAAAGTACATAAGGAAGAAGAAAATCACATATATAAGTCACTCGGAGTACAAGTCGCAACAGCCAAAGGATGAAAAAAAAAAAAAAGGGCAATATACAGGAGCAGCAGATACTGGTACACAAGCCTAGAGTGCCCTCTAGTGGCTGGAAGTGTAAAAATAACGAACATGTACATTTTCAGTAGTACAAGAGTAGCATATACTGGTAAACGAGCCTAGAGTGACCTCTAGCGGCTGTCAGTGTAGAAATAACAACGTGTAAATTTTCACTGTTATAGGAGTAGCAGATACTGGTACACAAGCCTAGAGTGCCCTCTAGTGGCTGTCAGTGTAAAAAAATAAACAAACGCGAAATAATATAGTTTAATATATAAGTCGCACCTGAGTATAAGTCGCAAACCCAGCCAAAGGATGAAAAAAAATAGTCCGGATAATATGGTAATATTTTTTCATAGGTGTGCGTACTTCACCTGTAACAGTTACAGTTAGAGGCAACTGCTTTTAGCAACAGAAGAATCTGTCGCACGTCAGTTAGTGCTCTTGACCTCGCTCACAATCTTTCATTACAACTAACAACAGAGAAAAAGGTCTAAAGACACCTTGCGGCGCAGAATACTTCAACAGAAAGTGTCTTTTTGAAGCAGAACAGTAGCTTTTCAATAGCAATCGTAACAAGCGGTTGAAAAAAAAAAAATCAATTTTTTTAGTGACTCTTAAGTTCAATTTTTTGATTAAACCGAATATTATTTAACGTTTAAATTTCGTTACATAGTTTATCTCTGCGCCTCTAAATTGGAGTCAATACTAAAAGTCCGTCTGTCAGAAATATACACACCGACAGCTGGGATGTGCAGGGACGACAATAAAGTGTAAACGGGTTCTTTTGTGAGGATGACAGCCTTTCCCTAAAAAAATGTCATTTCAATACAACGTCGACAACATAAACAGTCCTTGATGTTTTTCCTATTTGCAATGGGAGGAAAATTTTAGCTTCAATTCGCAATATAAAAACCGAAGCCTATCAAGACAGGAGGTGTTTTTTTTTAATTTGGGCTGTACAAATAAAACTGACTTGACAAGAATTAAGTGCAAGTGACTGATTTATAGAAATAAGGAGAGACGGCTCGATACGATAACCAGGATCGGTATCAAAACAATATTGGTCAAAATTTCACGATCAAACATAACAAAAATAACCCAATCCCTTACCTAACCACAAATATTAAAAGATATCGGACTCATATCGGTATCAACAGATACTCTAAGTTGCAGTATCAGTATCAGACATGAAAAAGTTGTATCCAGACATTAATAGATAAAAGCAAGTCTGGATAAATTCTGCCTCTCCTGGACAAAATACTACTAGGTCAGTACTTCTCAAATAGTGGGGCGGGGCCCCCAGGGGGACGGGGGGAAGGAGGGGCTTCCAATGGAATATGGCACACATATAGACATAAATGTACCACTGCTGTAATGCTTGAATGATAACAAGCCTCCAGCCACTAGGGGGCAGCAACTCATACAGTGGTTTGTACAGATAAAAATATACATGTTATCAGTTGGAATATCATGAGAGTTGTTCAATTCTGAATGAATAGGTGTGGGAACCAAAGATTTTGCTTGTATCTCCTGCTGGTCAGCAGAGGCACTACAGCAGATATAGAACATACATGAGATTACACACACACATATATATACATACATATATACATACATATACATACATATATACATACATATACATATATACATATATATACACATATATACATATATACACATATATACATATATATACATACATATATATACACATATACATATATATATAATATATGGATTCAGTGTGTGGTTGAAAATGTTAAAGTGTGTAACACTGACTTGGATCACGTTGGTGTCTTTTTCCTCTTTGTCTCCAGGTCAACACAGCAGCAGTGTTTTTAATAGCCCATGTGCCACAGGTACAGAGAGAGGACCCAACAGCAGCACAAACGAACCAGGTCTTCTCTTACTTCAAATTAGGCAAACTCCCTGCAGGTGAGAGCTGGGTGAGGATCCAGACCTTGAGATAAGATTCAGGAATAGGGTTGGGGGGGTCGGGGAGGGGGGGGAGGTTACCACCAAGTCACAGGACGACAAAAGAGTTGCATAGTTATAGACAGAGGGAAAGTCAGGTCAATACCAGGAAAGCGGTCCAGAAACAAGTGGTGGAAAGTGGGCACGAGAGCGAGAACAATCTGGCAATGAGTGATTGGAGTGTGGCCGTGTATGTGGTGGATTTTATAAATGGTGGTGAGCAGGTGGCGGCAGTTGCACTGATTAGGGGGTGTGGCTGCAGGAGTGGCTGAGCCGAGGTGGAAATTTCCACTGCAGATGTGCAGAATGTGACACAGACGCCCTTCTTGATACAACCCTTTGCCGACACAGGAGTCGGAGACTAGTGTAATTAATTACTTAAGTAATTTTGTTCCACTGCAGCTAATTCTTTACCAAAAAAAAAATGTAAAAAATAAATAAATAAAAAATTCTCATAGAAAAAAAAAACAACATTTCAACACAGTGTGACGTAAAAACAAAAATAATAAAGAAAAATAAATCATAACCTGCGCGGTTCTACATGCAGCTTGAAAGATTAAAAACTCAAGTTGCTTATCAAGTGGGGAAGAAGTAACGGCTCCACAGATGCCAACGCGTTGACTGCAGCGTTGCTTTCATCACCGTGACTTCATTTACTGATGGGATCATTTCGGCAGATTATTTTGCACCGGTGAACAACGGGTTCATTTCAGGTTTCCGATCCCCTCCGTCTGACCCCGCTCTCACGCTGCAGTCTTTTCTTGCTCCGTCTCTTCTTCCACGCTCGCATTTACGCAGCTAATCAAATTTTTACTGGTCTTTTCATAAAACCATGTAAACACTTCGGTTCGGTTTCCGGGCCGTGCTTATATGAAAGGACTCAAACATTCTCTCACATTTGCCCCCGTTTTTTTAATTAAGTCGAAGGAGAGTTTTATCACCGCCACGGGACTGGAAAGAACTGTGAGGCTGGTTAAATTTGTTTTAAAGTCTTCTCATTATTGGCCGACGGCTTTTTTTGGGGGGAGTTTTTTTAAACGTATGGAACGAATATAGCTGCGTACCCACAGCCAGAGGAGGTCATAACAAAANCTGCGTTCGCTTGTTTTTGGATCGGGGTTTTTTTTTTTTTTTTTTTTTTTTTCTTCTGTGGGTCCTTTCTTACTTTAGCAGAATCTTCAGCTTTTTGGTGGTAGGTTTGACTCTAGGCAGAATCTCCCTCTGCAAATCCCTGTACATCTGCCTTTTATGTTAGCCTGCATAAAGAATTCACATAAGTCAAAGGCGGCCTTTGTTGTGTGGTAGTCGTGCAGTGTGTTCTTCCTTCCTTCATAATTCTGGAAGGACTAGATCAGTGTGTTTTCAACCTTGGAGTCGCCTGGAATTCATTCAGTGGGGTAATGAATAGTAATTGAAAAAAGAGAAAATTACTGCTAAAAATATTATCTTAAATGTCTGTATTCTTTGATTTTCATGAATAGCAATCGAGTTTTAACTAAATGAAGCACATAAAATAGGGTTCCCCAACCCCTGGTCTGGGGTCCGGTGCAGGTCCGTAGGTCATTTGGTACCGGGCCACAGTGACAAAAATGTACTTCAGTTTTACTAATTTACTTCATTCAAAAAGAATCCAATCATATCCCTTTACTTTTGTCATTCAAAACGATAGGTCTGACAGATTAAAAACACGGTCTCTTCCTTTAACCCAAACGGCTGCATATATCGGTTGATATCGGAATCAGAAATTCGGACAATATCGGCAGATCCGATATTGGCCAAAAGTTAATATCGGACATCGTTGACTAACAATGGTGGAGCCAATAAAAAGGTATAAATTAAAAAAAAAATTTCTTATGTTGTCTTATTTTGTTTTGTGTTTTTCCTGTTCGTCTTTTAATGTTTTGAGGAAATGTAAAGAGCCAGAGGGAATCCCCGCAAGCCGTCACAAGGGAATAAACGTCTGCCCTGCTTCAGGGGCTCTACATTTATTTGTACAGTGCTGGAAAAAGTAAAAGACTCAAAAAAAGGGTGTGATTTAGTAAATGTATAGAACAGCGTAAACCTTTGCATACCTGATTCATTTATTTGAAAATATATTATAGATAGATAGATAGATAGATAGATAGATAGATAGATAGATAGATAGATAGATAGATAGATAGAGAGATAGAGAAATAGATAGAGAGATAGAGAGATAGATAGATCGATAGATAGAAAAATTTATTGGAATAAAAAGTTAGGGCAACAGTCAAGTTTCCCATTTACAGAGGACTGACTTTTTGAGGTATCTTCGAGGTATCGTTTTGAGGTGTGTTAACATTTTTAGGTAGCTTTGAGGTATTTAGACCTTTTAAGGTATCTTAACATCTTTAGGTCGGTTTGAGGTATCTTACATTTTTGAGGTATCTTAACTTTTTGGGGAAGCTTTGAGGTATCTTAACTTTTTGAGGTAGCTTTGAGGAATCTTACATTTTTTAGGGTATCTTGACTTTTTTGGGGGGAAGCTTTGAGGTATCTTAACTGTTTTGGGGGAAGCTTTGCAGTATCTTAAACCATACGTGTTTGAGAGCAAGTGGAGCACAATGCTCATCCCTCTTTGGGTTTGCAATGGAACAACAGCCTCAGTAGTCGCACTAAAAAGCCCAATCGCATCTCCAGGAACACTCTAGACAACCTAAATGGACGTAATGAAGAAGGCGAAAAGGCGAAGGCAACATCGAGGCAGATTGTCTGCCTCGTCTACTACTACTGACTATGGATAAGTCGAAAAAAGTTCCAAGACAGGTAGAATCATTTCAAATCTAAAGAGTGTATGCTCAGGAATCTCGGATGTCTTTGACAAGTATTTTTGACCAAATTTGAATGGACACTGGAAGACTGTTTAGCTGACTTAGCTAACTTAATAATTTTTTATCCAAGGTACAAATATTGTTCATTTTGTGTAATAATAATAAAAAAAACTTTGCTGCATGGACTTTATTAAATCATTTTTAAGCTCCCATGGGCCCTACAAAATGACTTGGCGGGCCACATTTGGCCCCCGGGCCTCGAGTTTGACACGTGCTGGAACTGGATTTCAGTCCTTACACAAGACAAAAAAAACAAAAAACAAAAAAAAAGGCATGGTTTGCATTCCCAATACAGAAAGTGGTGGTCTCCATTGACATTGTCCTCTGTCCCTGGTCAAATTAAAAATAACTTTAGGCCCGGGGGACACATGATTTTAGGTTGTCTCAGGATACCCTCTTCAATTTTTGTGGACAAGTGTTGCAGTACTGCCAGCATGCACTGACCTTCATCTCCCACTGGGGCTTTGAGCGTCTACGTGAAGAGACTGAAGCGAGGTTCGGCGCCTCTGAATAAACAGACTATAGTTCAGCTGAGAAGGCTAAAAAAAAAAGACGCTCGAAGTTTAAGTTTAAGTAAATGAGCGTAAATTTCCTGGGATGTTGTTCCGAGACCGAGGAGCAAATTGAAGTAAAGACGGACAGATGGTTTGGGGCAGCATCTGCAATGATGCTGTAACAATTATTGACCCTCTGGCTCCGAGCCACGGTGTTCGGTTAAAGCTGTAATGATTTGGCTCACACAGGAGGTTTTCCTAAATTTAAATTATGCAGAACAGTTTGTTCCTATGAACGCGGGTTAAATTGTGCACTGACATTCTTTTGAACCTATATTTAGAATCCTGTCATCCTCGGTTTTGCTTTTTTTTATTATTATTATATTTCAATGGGATAAAGGTGGCAACCACTTTTTTTTTGGACATTTCGCTAGCAAACATTTCACCTCTTTATAGACGGGCCAGTACATCATCAGTCAAGTCTGAGTATTAGTTATGGACCTTTACTTTTTGAGGTATATTTGGGGTATCTTGACATTTTGAGGTAGCTCTGGGGTATCTTGACTTTTTGAGGTATATTTGAGGTATCTTGACTTTTTGAGGTAGCTTTGGGGTATATTGACTTTTTGAAGGAGCTTTGAGGTATCTTGACTTTTTGAGGTAGCTCTGGGGTATCTTGACTTTTTGAGGTATATTTGAGGTATCTTGACTTTTTGAGGTAACTTTGAGGTATTTTGACTTTTTGAAGTAGCTTTGAGGTATCTTGACTTTTTGAGGTATATTTGAGGTATCTTGACTTTTTGAGGTATATTTGAGGTATCTTGACTTTTTGAGGTAGCTCTGGGGTATCTTGACTTTTTGAAGTAGCTCTGGGGTATCTTGACTTTTTGAAGTAGCTTTGGGGTATCTTGACCTTTTGAGGTAGCTTTGATGTATCTTGACTTTTTGACGTATCTTAACATTTTTAGGTACCTTTGAGATATCTTGAATTCTTTTGAGGTATGATAGGAGGTTGCGGGCCTGGGGTGGACCCCGGGCCGAGGGTTTGAGACATCTATTTTAAAGTGTGATATATTTAATATATTATCACACCGGCAAATTTTATCCCATTCTTACAGTCTATGTATATGGGCTATTTACACACACATATTTACTGTACACATATATACTGTACATATATTTCACCCATTCATTTCTAATTGATCTCTTTTAGTTGTTTCTCCTTTTGATTGAGAAACATTTTCAAAAATAAATAAATTTAAAAAATAGCAAAGCCAATTTCTTGCTATTTTGAGTGTTTACATTTGACAGAGGAATTTACTCTGATGAATCGATCTGAAAACCAATCGGAGAGCATATCAGGTGGCTCTCTCTCTCTCTCTCTCACTCTCCCTCTCTCTCCTCCCCTCTCCCCCTATCAGAGGAAGATGGTCGCAGCCACAGCGCCTCCTGGACGCCGAGCAGCTCAGTCCCCGTCACTTACACACTCGCTGCGGGAACTTTGAAGTGGGCATGGCGCGCTACGCCAGGTTCCTGCTCCTCCTGCTGTGTCTCATCCTCATCGGCGAATGCAAGAGGCACAAAAGTCGGAAGAAGCGATGGTCGACGCCGCCGACGGAGATCCACAAGGTCGGCAAGTAAGTGTCACATTCATTGTTTTCCTACGTAGGGCTGTGACCGACGTGGGATGTCAGCTTTTATGACTTTTTTTTTCCCTCCCTCTATCACGCAAATAGAAGAACTCGGTAATTTGTTTGGAAACATTACGCAGAAGATGCGCATGCTCTGGGGTTTTTTTTTTTTCTTTTTAAATCGTGGCATTGAAAAAAAATATTTGAGAGACACCGGTCAACACACGAGGATCTGGGATCCATCCCAGATGTTGAGTCCACTCGTATTTCTGCCTCCGTATCAACGTCTTCCTTCTAACCATGGGAACAGAACGTGCGTAAAACGCAGCCAGAGCGCACGCACTGACCCACGCCTGCCGCGACCACGGTACAGCAAATGAGAAAAAAAAAAAAACAAAAAAAAAAAAACAACTGTCTGCTTGAATGGCTCTGATTTTTCCACTATAAACTGTTGGGTGATATAGATGGATTTTTTTTTTTTTTTTTAGTGCGTTTTAAATCGTAGAAAGCTCCGTGAGCTTTTGAGCTTCAGTTAAAATGTGAAATCAATAAATATCAACAGAATTAAAATGTACGGAAAACTATAGAAGAAGAAGAAGAAGAAGAAAAGCATCTAATTCTTATCCCTTATCGTCATTGAATTCATTTCATTTTGATCCATCCGTCAAATATGCCTGTTTGATTTAGCGTTTAAATAGTCGATAGTCTTGTGATTAATCGACAGATGTCGTCTCTATTTTCGGCTTTTTCTGAGCGTTAATGTGTACAAATGTGTGTAGTTGAACGGAAAAAAAAAAAAACAACTGATAAGTGCTTATACCAAAGACAAATGTACAGATGCTCTCTCTCTCTCTCTCTCTCTCTCTATTTATCTATCTATCTCTCTCTATCTCTATCTCTCTCAGTAAAGTATAAAGTCCTTCTGCTGATACTCCATCAATCTCTTCTTATCCGCAAATCTCAAATCAGATCAACATCAGATGTCTCTCTCCCCTCTCTCTATCTCTCTCTCTCTCTCTCTCTCTTTCTCTTTATCTCTCTCTCTCTCTCTCTCTCTCCCTCCGTGCCTTCCAGTGTACGCATCAGTCCTTGTGTTGTGCGTCTGTGTGGGTGTGTAACTCATCAGTGCCTCTGTATTAGTCCACACTCAATGTTTTTCATGAGGACATAATTGAGCCACGCACTTGCACCGAGTTGACATTTCACAGCAATAACACACCCACGTACTTATTTACACTTCCATCCAAACCGCTGGATGGAAGTAGTCGCCGTAGAGTGAACCTGTACTCGCCACACGACCCCGTCTGTTGTGACGCTCGAAGAATGAATGTTTGAATTGAATATTCAAATGGGAAATGAATATTTCTTCAGATGGAGCCGGTGAAGGAGAAGCAGCAGAGACGGGTCAGGCGAGTTCAGCTCAATCTTTGAAGAAAAACTTTGGAAAAGCTCCGTCTTTGTGATTAACATCTTTTTTTTTTAAGAAAAAAAAAGGGTTCCCTGACAGTGCGGGGAGAAATCTGGTCTTTTGTGAGGAGTTGAAAAGCAAAAAGAAAATGCATCACAAATCTAACGGTATCGCTGAGCCCTGAGTTATTTATCTTCAGTGAGTGTGTTTAAGCTGCTGCCTTCTTGAAAGGTTGGTGTCTGCGCACTACCTGAAAGTGTTAGCAACTGAGTGTTGGGTCACGCTATACCACTCTGCGATTTTCTAAAGGATATAATACCCACTTCGTTCAGGATTTAGCAGGATCGCTAATGCTCTTAGCAAAGTGACCGTTACTGGATATTGCTTCCTGGAATCCCACTGGAGTAAAATTTCAAAATTTCAAATTTGTCCAGGAAAGCAATGTCCCCGTGTTGTCAAGTACAAGTATCGCATTTTTTGGACTAAAAGTTGCTGCGGAGTATAAGTCGCACCAGCCGAAAAATGCATAATGAAGAAGAAAAAAAACATATATAAGTCACACCCGCTAGCTAGCTAGAGTGCCCTCTAGTGGCTGTCAGTGTGAAAATAACAAATATCTAAATTTTCAGGGGTACAGGAGTGGCAGATACTAGTACACAAGCCTAGAGTGCCCTCTAGTGGCTGTCAGTGTAAAAATAACGAACATGTGAAATTATACTTCTATATTATATATATATATTATACTATAATTTAAAATATAATAAAAGTCGCACCTGAGTATAAGTCGCAAACCCAGCCAAAGGATGACAAAAAAAGTGCGACTTATAGTCCAGAAAATACGGTATATATTAGATATCAAATATAATTATATTGTATTTATATTTAATGAAGTATAATTCCACAAAAAATATCCTGAACATTCAAGCCCTATGTTTGACACAACTGGTCTAAGTCTTTTTTTTTTTTTTTGGTAAGATTTCAGGTCAGTGGATGCTGATGTGAATTTTATTTTTTATTTTTTTTAGTTCAAATTTTACTTGAGTCTCGCTGGAAACGCGTGATTGGCAAAGACACCCACAAGTGTACGTCTTAACCCATAAATATGAATGTGCGCTCCAGTGCTCCGACGGAAATTGAAACTTCAGATGAAAAGTGATTGCTGTTGTGCATTTGAATGCATGCAAGTTAATTGTTAAGAATGACTCAGACCCACGGTACTTTAACCAGGTCACTATGTCCAACCTGAACAGACTGGGATGTTCCAGAGTGGAATAGAGCTGTGGTCACGTGCGGTCAGTGAACATGGGCGTGACGAGGATCTGTCCCCGGGCTGAAGAGACAAACTGTGATCCTGGAACATCTACTGTAAACAACCTGAATTTTGCATACGATGCTTAAATAACAATTTGAATATAAACTGAACAGCTTAAAATGACTGAAGGCTAACTGCTACTTTTGTCATATAAACTGTAATAAATGGACTTCAGAAACGATAGCGATAGATGTCCCATATGAACTTTTTGCCGATATCCAATATATAGCCGATATTTTCCAAACGCTTAATTTCCGATTCCGATATAGGAATGCTAACATTTATTTATGTATCTGTACCAACCGCTGTATGAGTATGAGAATAATTAAATGAGCTGCAATGCCGCTATCTAGTGACCTTCACTTTAATATACAGCCGTTTATCCCTAAAGCTATTTTTAGCGCACACGTCATTTGCCGAAACCCATGCATTGCGTTATCGGGTTTTCATTATCGGAGGAAAAACTAGTAAGGATTCTTACAGATATTACATAATATGCTAATATCGGGCCGATAATATCGGAAATCCCTAATAATAACTTGTAAGAGTACGGCAATAGGTTAGCGTTTTCCTTCGATAGCCTTTCACTAGGAAATTATTGTTACACAAATGCACAATAATATAAATCACGTCAACCCAGATGATATTTTCAGTCAGCAGTAAGGGAAAAAAAAAAAAATTAGTCAGACGATAGTTGGCCAAAACTAAAAAAACAATGGGTCCAAAAAAGGACCGCAACCCCATGTTGAAAAACACGAGAATTTGTGAGCCACCTAAAAACCAGAATTTCTTCCCAGTTTGGGATTCGTTCAAGAAATGTGTTATAATCTTGTGTAATTTCTTTCAAAATGCTCCAATCTTTCTGCCATTTTAGGCACGGCTAGATCACAGGCAGGGTGCGCACTTGGCGTGCCAATCATGTCCACGTCCATGTGGTCCAAATAAAATGTCTGGTAGGTGTTTGTAACGACTCCACCAGGGTTTTTTTTTTGTAGCTTTCGGGACATTAAGCCAACATTTTGACAGCTGTGTTTACTGTCTCTCTAGTCACTAGGCGAACCATCACACGGGCTTCATGCCCTTTGATAGCAACAATAATAACAATAAAAAAAAAGTATATTCATAAAACTCTGTCTCCAGATGTGTAAAAATCTCCCTCCTCTCTCCCCGTGTCTCTTCGTGCGTTTTCAGCCCTCTTGCCAAAAAAGCTTCGGATGGAACCAAAACCCGCAAGGTGAAGACCAGCCACCTTCTCCGAATAGACGAACACGACTTCACCATGAGGCCCGCGTTCGCAGGTGAGGCATCTGGAGCAGCTGCTCCTGACAATTACAAAAATAAGTACATGTTATTTTGGTGTCTTTGGCGGTACTGTGTCTCTCTTTTTATTTTAAGTCACATCAGACAATGGCTGCGCCGCTCAGCTTAGCACTCTGTTGACACTGACTCTCTGCCGTTCACGTCAAGAGAGACCTTTTGTTGAGCCCGAGCCTGACAGGGGGGGAAGAAAAGGCAGGTTTATTCTCACCACCTATCTGGGCTTTTGTTTTTTCCACCTCTCTACTTCGCTGCCACGTTTTCAAGGAGACAGAAATAGGTGAGGTGTTGCGCTCACAGCCCCGAGCTAAGGAAAACAGAGAAACGGATATATGCAGCAGGTTGTGCATGAGAGAAGAAAAAAAAAAAAAAAAAAAAAAAAAAAATCTCGCAATTAGCTTCTCGATAATTGCTGCCGACATATTTATTTAGCCGACAGATGTTTTTCGGAGCTGTTATTTGTTGAGATCTCCCTGAAATGACGCTGATCAGACAGGTCCGTGGAAGCAGAAGTCAAACCGAGGACATCTCCGCGCCCCGGCTCTGCAGCCCGAGTGTCAGTATTAAGGCACCGTCTTGGGGGGGATTTGAAGAGGCAATTATAGACGCGATGCCTATTTATTAAACTAAACAGCTCCTTTTGCCAGCTTGCGTACAGGAGGGAGGAGCATTTTGTTCTCCCACGGTGAATTTTCTGCTCCTCCGGGATCTCATTTACTGCTGCAGATGGGAGGGAGAACACCGCTGTGGTTTCCGATTTTTGTTTCTCGCTGGCATGAGCAGCATTGTCAACAGGTTCGGTAAACCTCGGTCGTGCCTTTTGGGGGGCTGGGGGGGGTGGAGCGTATGACAGGAACGACTGCAGTCGAAGCAGAACACAATCACAATTAGCGGATAAAGGACACGGCGCGGTGGCCGCACAGTTAAACGGCGGCCAAATTAAAAGGGCCGCCACTTTGTTCAGATATTAAACACCAACTGAAAAGAGAGAGGCTTAACATTCCGCTGATCATGCGGGTTGAGTGCAGTTGGTGAAAGGGAACATTTCAGTCAGAGCTGAAGAAGTGTGTCTTCTAAAGAAATGGCCTTTCAAAACTGTCAGGCAGCGAAAGTTTCAATTGTAGCGCAAACTACATTGAAGTGGTAGCTAGGCCTTTTTTCCGCGCTTTTTTTAAAAAAAAAAATCGGTTTAAAGTAAATTATTGTAAGTAACATCCCTGTGCATTTCACTGTAAAAAAGAGCCTTCAACACTTAGTTCAAATTAACGTTAGTGCTAATTTCATTAACAGGCAATTAACGTACATGAGCAACAACAACAAAAAAATCAAAAATCACTAATATTTTACCAGTTACCGTAATTACTACTTTTTTCTACACGCTTTGAATCCTGCGGCTTGACCAATTATGCGGCTAATTTATGGATTTTTACGGGCTAACGAAGTTAGTAAAAAAGTTTGCGATCAGTGACTTTTCTGGTAGGCTACTGTGCCTTAGCTATGCTAGTAGCGTATGTATTTCTGTGAATGGCAGCGTGCGTATATGTCCGTGGGGCGTTGAGAGCACTGTGAGGAGTTAGCCCCGGAGCTAATGTTAGCTTCGACCCTGGAGCAGATCACTAAGTCTCCCCTGTGCATTCCAACTACGGTCGGAGTGCAGAAGCAGGAAAGAGCTAACGTGAAACTAGCCGTGTTATAGGCATAGTGGACACCTGTGGCTTATGGAGAAGTGCGGCCTAGTAGTGGACACCTGTGGACAAGTGCGGCCTATATATGTACAATTATTTGTACGATTATTTTTGTGATTATTTTTAAGTTCAGTGGGTGTGGCTTATATCCAGGTGCGCTAAATAGTCCGGAAATTACGGTAATCAGAGGTCACCACGGCCCAAAGGGACCGAGTGTGGCGCTAGGTGGTTACAAAACATGATTCCACACTGAACCGGGCACAAAACTGTAGCTAGCAGATGCTAGCAACTACTAAGCTGGAGTTGTATCTGTTACGGTAGCTCCTCAAACCTCTAAGTAGGTGTGGAGAACTTGAATTTTTGAAGGTTAAGGTTGCACTAGAGTTTGGCATCAGGATAGAATCGTTCACGTTAGAGTCAGTAAATAACCATAAAACACCTCGAGTGCGTGCGGGAGACGCGTGTGCCGCGACAGCTGCCGTCCCCGCTTCAGAAGGGCTAAACGCAGTGTTACTAATGAAATCTTCTTACTCCGCCACTTCCTGTTTGCTGCATGGTGGAACGTTATGGCCAACGATGCTCCTGTGTGCCATTCTGGGCCATGGAGCAAATTCCCAAGTCACAGTCAAACAACTCCTGACTGTGGAGCATTTTATTGTCTCTAAACTGCCTTGTACTTTAGAACTGCTCCCGAAGTATAAAAGATGCTGAGCATCGAAGTGTTAATCGTTTGGTGCAACGGGGAGGCGTGTTTTTTTTTTGTTTTTTTTTTCCATATTATCAAGGGAACGCAGGCGGGAACGTGTGCGGGTTTTGTTATCCTAATTAGAGGCTTCTTGCACTGCAGCCGTAACCTGCTGCAACACAATGAAGCAGATCCGCGACAGCTGCGGAGAATGTATATTTGTCATCACAACAAGTGATGGTTTTTAATGGGACGCAGCCCATATGGTCTTCGGTGGGGGGGGGGAAAAAAAAAAAATCTGCCATGTCATATATTAGCCACCTGCATGTGGGGAAAGAAAAGAAAAAAAAAACACGAGCCATGGATTGTGAAGCACATGCCTAATGGATGGGCACAGCTGCATAATCTAGTCAGTGTGAATCAAGCATGGATTTACAGCTGCTAATCCCCGGCCGACGGGAACAGTCCGGTATCACGGGGAGGAATGGAGGATCTGTTCCTACACATGTGTAAGAACTACATGTGGACAGTCTGATCTGTGGGAGTCCGATTACTGTATGGTAAACAACTTTTGATGAAGAGCAGCTGGAGATCCGGTGAAGCCGACGTATACGTAGACCGCATACGACCTAATTAGACATCAAGTGGGCCAGACCGGTGCAATCATAACACGATAAATTATAAATTACAATAAGTCTAGATATGTTTATGTTTATGTTTATCCCCCTTTTGGTTCCATGCAAATATGTACAAGTATATTAAATATTTAATATTATGACTCATTCATATTTAATGAGATAATACATTTTTTTAACAGAAAAATATCCTGAAAATGAACATCAACCAGGCCAGATTGAACACCCTAGCGGGCCGGTTTTGGCCCGCGGCCCGTATGTTTGACACCCCTGGTCTAAATATAGACCCATGTACCAATCCTGGTAGTGAGACTTATAAGCCTTGAGCTTTACGATGATTCAGTAGAAGATTGATTCTGACACGGAGAACCTTTGCTCAAAAGCACACCAGATGACTACTTTTTTTTTTGTTGTTGTTTATATATGTTGTTTATATACACAGTAGCCCAGGACATTTTCTCCTAAACAAACTAAATTTTGATTATTTACTGTACAGTGTGCCAGTGGTTTTCAAACTCGGGGGCCACTAGGGGGCGACTCAGAAAATTGGGACGCTTTTATTTTATTTGTTAACAACCATTTGTCACTGAACCGTACAACTCAAACTGTCGTAATTGTCAGATTGTCCAGTTTCTGATGGCACCTGAACGCACCTCGTGCAACCGTTGCAACTAAGGCATGATGACGTAAATATCTGTGTAGACCTGGCGGTTCGCCCCTTTGTAATCAAACTGCTCTGCTTCTCAACCCTAGCATGTCGCTAAGTAGCACAAAACGGGCAGGTTTTTGACAAGAAATAGACCAACACACACTGAAAATATGTTCCTTAAACATTTTCTTATGCTAAACAAATGTTATAATTACTAAATAGTAAATAAAAGCAAGAAAATACATTCCTAAAAACTGATGTTTCTTTACATATTTGGTAGCATTGTAGACGCTAACGCTATTTGGGCGGCCCTGACGATTGCCACATTTTAAGCACTTGCATTCACTGCAAGTTATTACTCTGTGAGATTGGCTTCTTTATGTATTTATAAAGTAACCTGCACACACCAAATATTGCTAAATAAAAACGTTATAAACGAACGACCATAAAAACCCGTATTAAAGGCATATGTAAGTAATGTAGAATCAGAAGGAGGTGAATATAAGCATCGGGTGCAAGGGAACTAAAGTGCAAGAGGTGCAACGCCTTTATTTTTGTGTTGGGAAATGAAAAGATTAGGCCTGAAATAAACAGCTTGTTTTTTTTTTTTTCTCCTTACGGCGTAAATCTTATCAGATATCAAGTGATACCCATCGTCCGCTCCCACAGCTAAACATGTTGACATTTTCTTATTTCAACCTTTCAGAACAAAAATTGTTTTCGTCCCGGTAGCTTTTGTTTTTTTATTATTATTATTGTTATTTTTAATAAATGCACAATACATAACCAGCGAGAAAAAAAACAAAACAACTCGGGACTTTCAGTGCCTGTGCTGTCGATGCGTTGGCCTTCGAACTCATTTTAGGATTCCTTCAGTGTGCCTCATTCAAAGCCAAATTATCTGCAGAAGTCTCCGACGCTGCAGAACAAACAGATCGACAGTGATTAGGTCTGGTAAACACACCGAAAAGTTGTTTTGCACGAGAACAGTGTTTTTCCAAGGCTGTTTTCACAGACCCGAGGTGAAGATGTGTGGAGAATACGAGCCCAACTGCTTCCTTTGCTCTGTCCTTTTTGCCTTTTGCTTGACCTTCATTCTTTCCTAGCTTATGGAGCTAAACGTCCGACATCTCAACATACAGTGACCCTCATGTCTTTTTTTTAACATACAGTGCGCAGCTAAATTAATGGTTTGACTGTTTCGTTTTGTTCATTTTGACAGCTCCAGTACACTAGGGGGCGCCAACTATATTGTCAGAGGGAAAGAATTTTTGGGGTTTTTCCTAGGGGGGCCAGACATGCAAATAAAATAGATTTTTGGTTTTGGTTTTAGATCGGGGTGTCCAACCTCTGGTTCAGGGACCGGTGCCGGTCCATAAATAATTTGGTACCGGGCTACAGTGGAAAAAAAACCAAAAAACTTCATTCAAAAAGAGTCATATCCTTTTACTTTTTGGAAGATGATCTGGCAATCATCAACGATGGTGCGGTATTACCGCTTTTCCTACTACCTCAAACAGCTCTTGCTAACGTGGTTTTGGTTAAGGGATCATATTACCTGTTTTTTAGCATCTTTTAGCATCTCATTAGGTTGAATGACTGAGGTATTAATACGGCTCATTAATTTGGAGTGAAGAGCTACAAATACCAGGTCACATGAGAACGTTTCCTGCATTTCGAAAAAAATTGTTTGGTACGGCTCAGGAAACCAAAACATGACTTTGAATATATTGACTGGAATTGTGTTGTTTTCTGGATTTTTTTTCTTCCCCCCTCTCTCTTTGTCTGTCTCTCTCTCTCTCTCAAACACACAGGGAGTGACTCATAATTCTCAGACTAATAAACTAATCAACCAAGCAATAAAATGTGTTTTGGAATAAATCCCCGCACATAAACAAACACACAAATGTCTTCACAGTCACATTTGGAACTCTGATGGATT